ATATACAATTAAAGTATTATATGCACCCCCCTTCGTGGACCTCCGCGTCGGACATCACAACATAGCCGGTGCTGTTAGAAAAACACCTACGAACCAACCACGTCAGTCATCGAATTTGTGTGCAACTGAGACGATATATGACCGCAAGTCACCGATTGCACTTGGCAATCCGACTGGACTTGGAGTTTTACCTATTTGTAAACTGTATTGGTAGAGGGAGAATGTGCCGGAAGAGTCGTTGTTATAAAGGACAGGGTTTTATCTAGTTTCGTGGGGAATAGGTTTCGCGTCTATTCTCCGCCGCCACGTTGTTCTCACTTCTGTGCTGACCAGCCATATCTGGGTTCTCTGCAGCTGGTATAGAGGTGGAGGGATTGTCACGCATTCACTTAATTAACATTTTCCTAGAGGTACTGTGGGCAGCTCCTCAACGAACTTTTTTTAGATGGTTAATAATACTCCTGCTGAAGGTAGACGTCATTTTCAACACTTCCTTTGGGAGTCGTCACAGATTCTCCCATCCATAGCGTACGTCCTTCCTCCGTCACATTAATGGTTAGCATTTAGGAATAGGAGTCAGGGTAAGGCCTCTGGATTCTCCTGAAGGTAAAAGAATAAGTAACACGAGGGTAGAATATGTACTATTGATTTAGAGAAGAGTTGAGGAGCTATGAACATAGCCCAGCCGCCTAGAGGAAGCACAGTGACCGGGGCCTCAAGTGCCCGCGTAACCTAAACGGGAGTTAAACAAAAAAAGTATTACGTTATGAGTTAAAAGGGGAATAATTGAGACACACTTAACGGTATGTTGGATTGCGCTTGGCAAACACACTAAGAGTGGTCTCTTAATTGAACACAAAAAACACAAACAGTCGTTTGGTGCATTTTAAATCCTTACGACTAACATAAGAACAAACTGTGGAACTAACGGCGCATGCAGCATGGGGAGCTACTGTTCGATTTAGTGACATGGATAATTAGGCGGTGCATCATTTTGGTAAAATTCCTATAGGTCATTCCATATCATAGCCTACCACGATAATTTGCGTGTTATTTAGTGCTCTTTCAAGTCAAACTGTAGGTCAGTACCTGATACCTAAGAAAAGAATCTCAGTTCGAACTAAAAATGAAACACCTTCAGTAATAGTTATTTTTACCTTTTCTTAGAGGTATGCCTTTAAATGATCCGTGACATCTTTATTACCTTCTTCCATACGCAGCTTAACTAATCAACCCCTACTTAAAATACTATCCAGACAAATCTTTCGGGTCTTACCTTCAATTAGTTCATTAAGGGTTTTTACGCAATTCAAAGGAGCAAAATTCGATAGCGTGTTTTGGTTTTTAATGGCCTATTTCCTGTTTTCCAATAAGATTATTAAAAACGTCTTTAAGACATTACAGACGAAGTATTTTGCTTAAAACGAACGGCAAAAAATTGTCTCACTCATGGAATGCTAGTTCAGGCTTTGCAATAAACTTCATTCAAATAAGAGATCGTGAACTTTCTCATCAATCCGTGTAGGAGAGTGAGAATAATTCGTTATGAACCAACCGCATTTTTCCTTGCTTTGTGGGATAATTTGACACCTTCGTACAACTCGTACAGGCAGATTATCGAGAAAACAAAAAAAATCGAAAAATTTTTCTTTTTCCCCTTCATCACCTCTATTTGCCATCAACGTGAAACTGCTCTGATGTTGTAAATTGTGCTCATTAAAGCAGCACTTTTCAGTGGGATATCTGGACTGTATCTTTAAATGTTTAGTTATAGTTAGCAGTATGGTAGAGCAACTTTACATACTATCCCACAAATCAGACAAATACCTAAAATAAATGATTTTTTCACGGCAAAATAATCCAAAATATTGGGAAACACACAACTTTACATAGCCGTCACCACGCTTTGTATACACGTTTGACTATAGTTACTGTAATAGTGGCGCTCATAACACTAGCACAATACTTTATTGAAATAATAACGATCTTCATGAATACCATTCCGCTGTTTGTTCATCCCTAGATAATCCAAACAGACTACACTCCGACTGCATAAAGAATGTAGCGACAGAAAATGCATACTGAAATGAAGTACTAGTCGGTATCAAAGGGAGTATTTGGTCCCCGTAAATTCAGCGTCAAAGTGAATTCAGTGCAAATTAGACACAGTTAAAAATATATTCAAGAACCTACCTTTTACTTAAAATGCCTTGCAGTTTAAATAATCATTCTCTGCATTGGCGTGTTAAATCCACTTAAATGGTTTGCTAGTCTGAAGAGGTAGAAATATGTGAAAGCAGGGTCACATCGCTTTATACAGACGGTAAAAGGTGAAAAGTGAGCAGTGCTGCCCACTTTTTAGCTCTTCATTATGTTGGACTATTTGCTTCCCGCAACGGTAAAGGTAACCTTACTCTTAAAGATTATTAAAGTGAACCGTTCATTAACTTAAATGTTAGCAAGTGCAAAAATGTCCCTGACTTACTGCTCCTGCTAGCCGCTTTCCCCTTCATCTGAGTTAATCCTTGTTTAATGTATTGGCCCAAGTCCTCCAAAATACACAGCATACATAACTTACTTGTAAGGGTAATACATAGACTAAAATAAACCAATTTTTGATTGGAAAGATCTATCTAAACCTGATCGCGCCTTTTTGTATGCTTTGGCAGTTTCAGCCTCTGAATTTACTTATTTTTAGAAAGTAGTACGTCAGACCTCTCTGACAAAATAAAAATGCTAAGGTCTTTAGGTGGTGGCATCAAAATGGACTTCGTGAAACCCTATGAGTTTAAGTAAGCGGTGAAGAATGGTGAGATTGGTACTTCCAAGTATGCAAAATAAATAAAATTGAATTCCTTATGAAGTCGAAATGATCTCGATGCCCATCAATTAGGAATGTGAACAATCCCAAATCGGGGCGTCTGTTATGCAAATGGCACGAAGTATCCACAACGGGCATCAAATTTGTGTGCAAACCCTCAAGCCCAGGAAGTCGTTGGGTCTAAATGCATTCGCAGCTATGAAGCTACTAGAAGCAACATTGTGCACGCCCTATGCGAATGCCTTTATCGGTAGTGTGATAAATTTTACCACGTTTCGTTTCCATTATTTTGCTAAATAAATGTAAAATTTAGACCTAGTAGCAATCAAACGATGGTACAGAAATCGATCTTACCATGAATTTGCCTATTCAAACTCTATTCTAAATTTATATTCTCAGCGCATTCTCAGCTAGGTAAATACCAAATTTTTGGGTTATTTTGAACCTCACTTGGAGGAAATTTTTAAATTAACTTCAAGACTAAAGTCCATTGAACTGCATGACATGGGCCCTCTTGATAAAAACTTTTAGTTTCTATTTTGCGAAGTTTTGGCCAAATCTCAAGACTCCATATAAACAGTGGACAAAATATGCAAAGTGATGTTTGTCTTGGCCAACGAGTTCACGTATTTTCAACAGGTAAAGCAAATTTGGAAATTTTATGCATCCTAAACTTAACCTCATTTTCCAGTTCAATAAGTAGTGCGATCGTCCGCATCCCCAGAGTACATTCCCTCTCAGATTCTCCGAACGCTCAGAAATGTCGCGCTGTCTTCAATTTCCCTGATTGGTCAATATGACGTGCAGCTAGACTTTAAGTCACCATAAGGTCAGGGCCAATCAACTAGCCCAAATATGCGGGACTAGAACCGCCGTGTGTGGCTACGTTTGCGCGATTTGTACCTTCTGCTTGCTTATACCAGTCAGCAAATGAAGACGGACATTCTGAAGTCTGTCCCCGATTACCGCAGTTTGGGATCCTACACCGGTAAATCTCACGCACACAAGCACTAATGTTTATGAATTCATTTCTTGTAAAAAGTAATTGTGGAAACCGTACTTCACAACAAAAACTAATTAAGTTAATTCAGTTTGCTTTCACACATAATAAAATGCGGAATCTTTAAACTTTAGGGAGGACAGTGCACTTTGCTATTCAAGGACAATCCATTTATCACTCGTGACCATGTTAAGTTGCTTAAAATAGTCTTATTTCGTGGTGTATTTTTACCATTCTTTTAAAATAAATTACAGCACATAAAAGTTTTTCTCAGTTATGTAAGTTAACTAAACTGATTCTAGCAGCATTACAACTTAGCTCTGCATTGGTGTAAAATTTAGCACTGCTGACCAGCAATATCTTAATCTTCTACTTCCCTGAATGCTCTAATGTCTCAACGATGTGAATTGTTATCTCTCATTACTGATCAGACACTTTCATAATGGGAGCCTTAAAGGTGCTGCAAAGTTCCATCAACTGATAGCGCAATTTATTTCCATTAAATGGGAAAACGTAAATGTCCTCCGGTTAGACCAGCTTTATTATGGATATCGGCCGTTAAAGTGGGTTCCTGGAACTAAATTATGTTTTTACCAAACGTCTTGCCATTTAATTAAGATTTACTACCTTTACTGGCCTGGCTATTAAAAGGAAATTGATTTCTTGTATATTTCAAACCCTTCAAAGTAGTTAATTTGGGGTGAACAAGATTAAAGGTAACACGACGGACATCGGCGGGACCTGAAAAGCTTTAACTTGCAAGACGGTTGGAGAGGCCTCGTTTTTGTCTAGTTTACAACTGGGCATTATTGAGCCAATCAGAGTGTTAACCTTTTGTGCATTAAATTTATGGAAAGGTGATGGCAAATGTGAATAATATAGGTGTTGCGGCAAATTTGTTTGACATTCCCCACATTTTGAGTGCCCTTATTAGAATTCAGGCTATGCAAAACCACGTTAACCCTATGTCTTTTGAAAGAATGAAGGAGAACTAAAATGGACTCACCTACCGAACCCGACACTGTAAAGCAGTTATTTTGCCCTTTACTCATGCAGATTTCAAAGTAGACCGAAACTTATCCAAAAATTGTTCGCACTAGTCAAAAATTTGCTCGATCGTCGTCCATTGTTTTCCGTTATGTACCAGCTCACAATATACGGCGCTAGAGAAGTTGGTTTGAAACGGTTGCAGAAAGGAAGTATTCTTTTGCAATCTAAACAGATTAACTTAATCGTTAAATCAAGTATAGGAGGATAAAAGACAAATCGGTCCTGTATTTCACGGTTGTATGCATTTGTCTAGGTGTAAATCTTGTTGCAATAATGCTATTATTATTTTTAAAACCTCAGTCAATTAATCATTGAAGTGGTCGGTCTACACAATTGTTCATTCCGAAAAGTCCCGTACGTGATGGGCGAAATACCTTTAAACTATCTGCAAGCACTGGGTCCAAACTGTGGAAAATCTACGTTCGCCTTCTATTTTTTGCTTGATTTGGATCTACTCTTCGACAGAAAAGCAGGATCAGATGAACTCGACATCCTTAAAAATTAATGGAACATGCAATGGACCACTTAGGCCTCCACCATTGTACCTCCACCGGGCGACCTGGCCTTCAAGCCATGCCAGCAGCTCCAAGTCTTACTGCATGTTGCCAACATATATTCTGCCCTAGTATTATGCCTTCTTTCATCTTCAGAGAAGTCTTGGGGCTCTACAAGAATCGCTTCATTAAATACAATTGTATAAAGAAAATAAGTATATGGAGAAAAATTGTAGGTTCCGATTCATATCGCGAAATCTTGGCGAAATTTTACTCCTTCAACCATTTCGACAAAAGCAGTCTTCCAAAGTGGTCGACTTTCAAGATAATTTTAGCAGACAATTTTGTAGGCCCTTAAAAATTTTTCAAATACCTCGTCTGCAGTCTAACACAAGAACTATATTATTCAAGCACTATGTCTCTCGGAAAGAATTCACTTAGCTATTTAAAGCAACCGTGAATCCCCCTGACGATTTATTTATGCTGAACAAGTGTTATGCCCGTGCTTAGATGAGTCGGAATGCACCAGTTAATGTAAATAATTACTTCCAACAACACACTTTGCTTTATTAAGGGGGGTTCTAATTTTATGACATTTGTGTAAGATTTTCTCATTCAGAAAAGGTACAATTCCTTATTTAATAAAAATCCATGACCTCACTCTGAAGGAGGTATTTTCATCAGATAAAAAAATTGTTTTGCCGTTTTCCTGGCCTTTAATGCTGCTGAATCGAAGGTTTTCACCACGACGTAAAGTTGCCTATTGTTCTGATGCCTCTATGGCATGCTATAGTAGTCAACAATAGTTACCAATACCAACATGTAAAGAACTTGAGTAAACAACCTTCACCTACAGGGTAGGTGGTCTAGACTAGGGCAAGAGGATACGAAGATCGGTGAAAGGCACTGCACAAAAGGAAGGTGCGTGACCTTCACAACTTCGACCAAACATTAGCGCCCGTGGGTGCGTGTGTACAGGTGGGTCAGCCTTCACACACCCGAGGCCTGTCATTGGCGAGGTAATTGCTGTGTGCTGGTCGCCTCCGCGCTGCCTAATGTGCTTCGCCCGATGCAAAGACATTCGTGTGCTGCGGCTGCTGCTGATTCTGGTTACGCTTATTTGCCCTAGCACCATTTGCCTTGTTCGTGGGTCTGCGTATGTAGGCAGTCATTTGTGCCGGAGATTACAGTGGCGGTGTTGCTATCTGAACAGCCAACGCAATAACTAGGATTTCTACTGGTCCAAATCTCATCCCACAGCAATATAAGCAGTCTCAAAAGTGAGTATCTAAATTCGACGTTATTAATACACAACGAAAAAGCAACAAGACAATAGACCATCATGTATTGATAACTCGAAGTACGGTTGGCAGAAAATGTAAGGAATTTTGAAACTGAATAGCATATTTTCTACCTCTTAATGCAGAGTAAACCATGCTTGCAGGATGTGCAATCTGATCAGCTTTGAAATGGCATATTTTAGTCTGTCATGTCTACTCTATGTGCAGCTACTACGCTGTCCTCAAATATGCATAGGTGTATTGTGATTGGAAGTCTAAAAATAAATAGAGCTTGAGTAAGGACTCAAAGACAACAAAGGAAAAGAAGAAATTTCTATATACGTCCGATTTTATGTACTTAAATAATATGGGATGCATGTAAGCTCGCTAACATAAAACGATTTTCTTCGAACTGAGTCATGGGCATAGGGTAACCCCACTAGTTTAGATGGCGAACCTCGTGATCAATTTACGAGAGACTGGCGAATAACATAAATGACGTAGATAAAAAACGTATTCCCCACTAAAATAATCTAGATGCATAAATTTTTGATTCTCCTGAGCAACTTGAAACACATTTATCAGAGTTTTTTAATTGCAGAGTTTTATTAACCCCTTTTCTCTCATTCGTGATGGTCAAGGCAACAGTACCCGATTGTACCTAATATTAATATGAGTTACTTATGAATAAAAACTATGGAAGCAACACTCAAAACAGCTCAGATTATTTGTCTCACAAGTCCACTTTGAGTGCCGCACGCTCAGAGTTCATCCTCTTCATCCACTTAAAAAGTAATTTAAGCTACTGAACCACTTTCGACAAAAATCTAAGGGAATAGTTCATTCTTTTATTGGTTTGGAGTTGATGTGTATTTATTTGTTGGAAATCAAATTTTCCCACTGAAAGTAGCGTTTGTGCCTGTTCTGCGAATATCGCTTCATTATCGTATACAAATGCGATGTTATCGTGCTGGAGAAAACAATATGTAATTTTAATGGGGACCGCAGTTCCTGGTGTGCTGGCTTATAAATATGGGAAGTAAATTGGTCCGCGTGGCCTTTTCCAAACAACTACTTCGAAATTGTAAACATCGAATGCAAGTAAACGATTGTAATTGAAAGATTCGGTGAATATGGGAGAACAAAATGCGGTTTTCATGCCTTTTTTATTCTCCCATATGAACACTTGGAAAAATGAAATTCCAAAACTGGAGTTAGAAACATGTGATCAGGATTTAAAGATGTATACCTAGGTAATGAAAAATACATAGCTTATAAATTTGCGCCACACTCTTCGTTTTGAAGAAGTGTACTTCTAGATTACCAGAAAAAAATTCTTAAAATACGTTGGTGTGTTGACGAACCATTTCCAAAACACTTTTTAACTAAATTAAGAACGTGAATAATAAAGTAGGCAGAAGAAAGTGGTTTTCGAAATTGTATTTTTACATGGATATTGTGATACTTGAGATATATATTCACTGGAAGCAAAGCTATGTTACGTTGGTGAGAAAGTGGTATCAAAGCCGCAAGCTCTACAAGGCGTAAATATTTACAAACAACACTATGAAGAACTCGCCTCTTGAGTTCTTCAAACGGGAGGCGTTGAAAGCTCACAGAGGCGAGAGCTACCGTGGAGCTTTGTATTCCCAATCCCCCAAGAGGGTGAGCTGCATAAAGTAGTTCTCTTTGAGGTTATCCACCCCGTGTATTCGTGCGTGTGCGTGCGTGTGCGTACTTGCGCGTGTGTGTGTAGGATCACGGTTCTAAGGTCAAGTGTTGCAAAGCGGATATATTAGGTATCGGTGAGCATGCCCTAATTTCGGAAGTACACACTTCACCGGGTTCAGCTTCACTCCACCTATTGGCAAATAGATACAGGTAACTCACAGCACTCACTCCACCCCATCCAGCTAGTCTATACGGCGTAGAGGGGAAAGAACTCTTTTTTTGCTTTAATGGGCCTGAGGTAGTATGCAAAATCTAGTATTTCATATTATATATTTCAATGACACGAATTCTGTTTCTGCCATGTCCCTCTAGTGTACATTCCAGCGTTCCTAATGCAGTTTGCATTCTTATCTAATATGAATGTTTTAGTATTTTTAAATTCACAAAAAGCGGCGGTCTCGAATCCGCATTAATTGTCGATAATAAAAATAGTCGCTACACTTTTAAATAACTCTGGTTAATCCGGTGTGCAGTAGGTGATTCGCAGAATATGGACTGTCGTAAATTACGTTTGTAGAGCATCAGTCAAGGATTGAATTAATTTTTTTTTTACACCTTTTAGCATATACCATGCCTGGTCCTCATGTAAGAATTTGTTTGCCTATTTGCATTTCTTCGAGAAGTGTAAAATATTTTTATTTTGTCCTTTATTTCATATGCCAAAGAGTTTATTTCATCATAAAAATTGAAGAATTAATGACCGTTAAATGGACCCATAAGGCAAATCAGTTCTCTAACTAATTCTTTAGAAAATACATTTAAGCAGAAAGCAAAATGACTGTAATTAAATTCACAGACGTTTAAAAAACATCATGGCTTGTTCAATGATACCGAATACATTTCAGTCTTGTAATAGTCTTTGTTGATTAAGTATTGATGCGGATAGTTTTTGAAAAGCCACATCGCATTTTTGCTACAGAATGCAAATAACTTTTTGATTCGATTAGAAAATGGTGTTACAGTCAGTACTATATTATTCTAGAATGTCAGTTCATTGCAGGCCACAAAGTTGCTGAAATCACTAATTTTAAAATTTGAGCATTTTCTCTAATTATTTTGTTTACGAGAAGAGGATGTTGTTTCACCTTTCTAGCCGACACCTGATGAAGCTGCAATCAAGATTCAGGCAGTGTTTCGCGGATACAATGCACGAAAACACATTCGAGAGGAGAAGGAGCACATTAAGGAAGTATCCAAGCTGATGTCTCCGAATCAACCAGATCCAAACCTAGCACCAACGAAAATTCAAGCTACATTTCGCGGTTACCTGGCGCGCAAAGAGCTCGCCCAGGTGTCAAAACAGCCCGACGCCAAAGTTTCAGAGAAGCTGTCTCCCGACTTCACCAGCCTTGGACTAGACCAGAGGATGTGCGCGCAACGGGGACTCATCGACTTCTCTAATAAATCTAACCTGCAGGCAGCGAAAGATGAGAAGAGTTGCGACCAGGAGACAACTCGAATCAAGACTGTCTATCAGGTGCGCACGCATTTGGCACAGGAGGGGGGAAGCGGAGCAAGCAGTCCTTGCCTAAGCCCTTACCTCTCGGAGGACGAGGCAGCGACGAAGATCCAGGCTGCTTTCAGAGGTTACCAAGTGCGCAAGAACATGCGTGCTCAGACAGCACCGATTCCGCGCTACGCGGACCAGAAGTACGACGAGGCGGCACGAAAGATCCAGGCCACCTATCGCGGCTACCGAGTGAGAAAGGAGATTGGGAACCTGAAACGCCACCCCCAAGACGAGGAGTCGTGAGACCTAACAATATTCCACTTCCTGCAGCCACCGAAAACTATGCTTTCCATTTTCCACATATACGCGCATACACATAAACACAAACACACACTTATTGAAGAGAAGATAAACTGGACCAACTTTAAGCTCGCATCATTGCTGTTGTTACTGATGAAGTTTTGTTGAAGTTGGTAATTTTAATCTTTTACCATCATCAGTATAACTGATTTTCATCAACTTAATGTTATTTTTCAAATCGAAAGACATTTGAAAGGGGTTTTAAGTAAGCATATGCCAAATAAAGGAAAAAATGCAGGATGAGATAAACCTATTAATTGTATTTGGTATGTATTTGCATTAGAGAATTCGAAATTTAGTTTATGAAATGAGTTACCCAGTTCCTTACTTCCAACTCAAGGTTCCAAGTTGACGGTCGCAAACTGATTACTCAGCCTACGTTACTACACAATCTTGTCACTGACAGTTGGTAGAATAAACACCAAGTATTCTTCTCGTTTAGACGAACATTGGCATGCTTAAATGGAATTAAATGAAAGACAACTTCCCCATTCAAATAATAATCCCAAAACTTTTCGATTCTTTGGATTCATGTGCATTTTATGAGTCACTGTAGCACTTTAATGATTGGGGGGAATGAAAGTGGAAGTCAGTATTTCATGATGTGTTTGCCAAGGAAAGGTGAGAACTTTTGATGGAACGGAATCAGCTAAATTTTACTGCTCACAATTTTTTGTCATTGTAAAACGAGGAATACAAATTTTAGTGTGGCAACAATATTTGCTGTTTTCTTTAAGTGGGGCCAGAAAATGCAAACATTATTCATTCAATAACATCTCTGGTATCGAATTGTTAGAAGTTGGGATGAAATATCTTAATTAACTTGTCATGACAGCTGGATTGGGCACGTGTTTTACCATTTCTTGGGTAGCCTTTCTGGTCTATGGTTAGCTTTTTAGAGTATTGTGTAAACCAACTAGAAACTCGGGTAAAATTGAGCTCTTGAACGCGGAACCAGGGATGTCCATCCAGAATTTTAGCTCCATGCCGTTTAGATTACGAGAAGAAAGCGGATTCAATTGACGTAATACGTTAAAGCATAAAAGTGTATTAATTCCCCATTAAAAGCCGTGGGAGTTTAAGTTCACGTTTTTTGCCATTTTTGCGACCCGGATCTGAAGTTTTTTTTCCACGCTACCTTAGATGTTATCGCGTATCAACTGAAAATCACACCTGTGACCTTGAGATGTGGGGAAAGCACTGAGAGGCAAAAGTGCATCGGCCCGGAAAAGGAAACGCTCGCAAGCGGGGGCTGATGGTATCGTGGATGCAAGCCTAGGGTAAAGCATTGTGGCACAGACAGTGCAGATGTATGGCTCGTTTAGGGTGCTAGTAGGTCCAACAACTCGTAGCCACAACACCAGTCAGATCTACGAACACAGAGGAGGATCCTACACAAGTCCATTTTCTTCCAGCAGAATGCTCTGGTGAGTTCCTCATTACGGAAGTGGATTTGTTTACCTGAGCCAAAAGGAATGACTTTATTCATACATGTTTAAAGCTGATTCCAAAATGAGCTTACCATAACAGTGCCCGTACATTTTATCGTCATCCCGATACTCTTTGATTGGTTGCTTAATTATCTAATTCTTCTTCAACAAGTCACCATAGGCGGCTTTGTGGTCAGGTGAAAGCACAGAACAATCACATGACAAATCGAGACAGAGTAGTCTCAAAATAAAGGGATTACGATCCATTCGTCTAGTCGTACATACATTTTACTCCTAACGCTCTAAGAAATACCTTTAGGCAAGCTTTTCAAAGTCATTTTAGTGTTTCCTAAATCCAACAATTAAAATTATCACCAAAAAATAACTTATAAAATGAGCATACAATATATTTAAGCCTCATATTTCCCTTTGCCTAGAAGGAAGTTCTAGTCACTGTTGCAACTGCACTTAGCATATGGGTCTTAAATGTACCAATACAGTTAGGGGTCATGGCAGAAGTATTTTTCATTGCCTCAGATCTGCTAAAGGGAAATTTTAAATGTTAATGTCCGGCTCTTCATCACGGCGGGACATTTGAGGTGAGGGAATTCGGCGGAAGAGGCAGAGACGACCACTGAAGTGGGGAAGAGGAATAACGGACCGAGTTATGTTATTGCCGTCCGGCGGCAGAAGCGGTTCGTTTTCTCCTTCCCTTCCAGTCGCCTTGTAACGTCGGTGCATTAAAATTCCTGCTGTGACTGAGATCATCGCTAGCAGCATCAGGGACAAGGCGATTCCAACAGCAAGGAGGCTCCCAAATTTTTCGTCAGATGGTTCCTTAGGCTCCCCCATACTCAGAATACCTCGCCTCAATTGTGAAGGAAAAAATAAAAAAGTTCAGATTTGCGTGAATTTGGCTCATTCACTCATTCGGATTAGCCGATTATCTTCATGTCATAGCCATTCACTTGATTAAAACTGGGAGGTCTAGTCACCAGCACAGGAAGAAAAATACTTTTATTATTCGTTTGCCATGTATTCCGATTAGTTTTTTTTATATCTGATGCAGAAATTGCCTAGAAATAAGCTGAAAGTGGGAGTGAGAACAGGATATCAATGGAATGTAGGATAATGTTTCAGAATAAAGTGGTTTTATCGGAGGCAAATCACCACATGGGAAGAGACACCGTACTGAATAAATACAAATAATTGTAGAGTGGTTACAAACTCGAAAAGTTATTGAAATTACTATTCGAAAGGATGTGTAACAACCCAACTTTTAATAACTAGTGCATTTGATAGTCCCAAGACTAGGGCTATTTCATTTTTTGTCGCTGCTTCCAGTTGGGCTGGAAACACTTGATAAATTACGCGATCCCTTAAAGTAAATATTCTAAATCACGAACCTTTGTCACTTAAATTATGCTAATCTCGACTTCTGCTGCACAAAAGTTTTGCCCCACTCTAAAATTTATGGTGGCGAAAATCGAAGCAAAACATTGAAAGCTATGCACATGTGCGGATTTACCCGCTTATACCGGTTTAAATGATCTTCTTTTCAAGAAATAAGGCAAAATCTTACTAAATTAGTTGCAAGATTTTTAAAAAACCCAAGTAAAATCGAAGCCAAATTGCAAGTCAGTTGATTGTCCTGGACTGATCAGTTGTCCATCAATGATGACAGAATAGATTGAATTTTATAAAAGAGCCTAAATTACTTCCACACCCAACGTCTTTTTTTGGTGATAGGGTAAAAGCATCCCAAAAGAGTTAAATCGTCTTCAAACCTGGAATGAATCATATCAGGGTTTAGCTTCCTAGCAAACGTTGACTTGGGGAAATTAAAAATCCACTTATTTGAATTACCATCGAACAAAATTTGTCGCCACATAGAACCCATCGTGTGGACTGCCAAATGAGACAGCTTGCAATCTCACACCCACACTCCTGTTGACTTGGTCCGGATTGTGCTTCTGGCTGAAGGCATCACCATAGACTGCAAGGGGCAGGGAGTACCTATACTTGCTTTGCATTTTTGAGGGAATCTGCATCCGGGGGCCGGCAATCGCGCTTCTCTTAGCCACACCAGCCATGGAAACCTCGCAGGTCGTCGTCCACTGCATGAAGGCTGGCGTGTGGCCGGACACTCTGGGTGCCATCACTTGCATGTCAGGCTTCCCGTATTCTTGAAGGAGTTGACGCTGACCAAGGTGGAGGTTGAACAACTATTTGTGAGGGAAGGACAAACGAAGGATATCTTTTGACATTCTATTGTAATTAGGTACTCAAATGAATAACGACTTCCTGGAAATTTCTCTTTGAATTTCAAATAGTAGTATCTTTATTGTTGATTTTCATTCAACTCCCAGGCTTCTGTCCTAATAGTATACCATTATTCACACTAATTATGCTATGCGATTATCACTTATGCGGCCGACTATAGTATTCATTTCATCAAACTTACAAGAAGTTTTTGCTTATCATGCCCGATTTTCTGATCTGAGGCTGCTGCTATGTAGTATCGGGTGCAAATAAATGCTAAATAGTGCTGAATTTTCCTGGTTCGAGGACAACTGGGTTTTTTTTAGGGTTTTAAGCAGCAACCGAGTTGGTCAATTCAACATTTGTCTACAGTGACTGATGTTCTCCGACACGTTGATAGAGAACGTGTGAATCAAAGAATTAAGGTCCAACTAACTTACAGTTTCTCTTCTATTCTCAGATAGGCTCAGCGACTCCACGAAGTCTTCTTCCATCTGTAAAGGGTCTTGAGAGAAAGGCAGCAGGATCATTGCTACCCTCCCCTGCTTCGGTACATGGACAGAGTCAATCGTGATGTCAAAAAGCATCCCGCTACCTGGTTCTAGTGACAAGACGTCCCTCTGTGCAAACTCTGACTTTTCCCTTGGAAAGGATATCTTAAATAGAGTGGAAAAAAGGGGAGATAAAATGCTAAATCCTCTGGCTACTTTATGCGCTAGCGTGCCATTTTTGTGTCGCCTTTTGAGCAGTCCCATCGATTAGATTTCAGCTAGAAAACTTCACGATTCTGAAGGAAGAAGTGGAATAAATTCCTAGCGGCGAATTTTACTGTGAGTTCTTGAGGTTTACGCTTGAAGCAAATGTTCTCCGTAAGTGAAGGGTTAGGGAAAACGATTTTATAGTGTGGCTATGTTAAGGAGATATCTGCAAAAGGCAGATCTGCATTTTACAAATGGATATGCTTAAAGGGTCCATATCATATAGCTTTCAAAGTTTGCTTTCTTGGGAAACGGAGTTGTAACATTTTAAATTATTGCAACGCACCAAACCAAGTCCTCTCTTTAAGTTTGCAACTTGAAAACAGGTACTTACTTCCACCAATAAGTGATTCAAAACCTAGACATATGCATTGCTACCGTGAGATTGGTCTAGGCGATAGATCGCGTGGATTGGACGCGTTTGCGGCCCTGGAGGGGAGTCGAGGCGCCCGAGACTACGAATGACTCAGATATGGCTGGCCGGTTAAAGAACGGCCATGACCCAGATTCTGTGCGCCCTGTTTACCACACACACCCGAACTTCTTTGTTGGGAGTTGGCTTTACGCTCATACGGGTTAGTTGGAATATCACCCATACCAACTTTTTGGGTTGGTGGTCGTTAATAGGAACGAAAAAAGGCGGTGGAATTCAAAAATTTAAACCAGTAGACAAATAAATAGGTACCTTGATACCTCAGTATGGAATGTGAGATTGGCAGATAGTGAAGGGAGAAGATAGTGAAATTGTCTGATGAAAAGCTCGCGCTTACATTGACGACTATCTTCCCTAGGCCATCTAAGGAATCAGTCGAATTTGTGGCCGTGTAGACAAAGTTGGGAGGATTTTTGCCTACGGCATTGTCTGTTAGGGTCCAGAGCAGATTCTTTCCAAGCAAGTGATGGCACTGGGACTGGACATCAGTTGGGGTCAAGCGCGCATCATCGTTTAGGTCGGAGTATGTGCAAAACTGCACACCGATGGATGAAATAAAGGAAAATCGGTCCTGATAAGGGGGCGAATGCGTTTTCAGAAACAACCAACTTGGATGGCAATTTGTAGATAGGCGTGATCGAAGATGTTTTACTCTTTCACTACGTTATTCCACTGACTGATGAGTCAGAGATCAGCCATCATTAACTTGCTACTCGCTTGGAATTTACTAAATGAACTAAGAAATGGAATTTGAGGGGAACAAAAATTGCCCTCATTTTTCTTAGCGCTATCAGGCGCTTTTAAATCTCATAGAAGTAAATTCTGTGACCTGGTAGATACCAAATACGATCATCTATGTAATAATAATGTCTTAGTAATTCTACTTTTCATTATCGCATGGTCGTTATCTGATGCAAGTCACAAAAAGTGCGTTAAACATTTGATGATATCCCACTGTACGAGAGTTTGAATATTTGCTAAAACGAGTTGGGGGGGTCATTGCAATACCTGTTTGCGACATCAACCTTCGCTGTCCAGTTGCCTGGATGTGCCATACCCTGTGGATTATAAAATTCATACGTTTTTAATGCAGCTTAAGTTTCCTTGACCATATATGGAAACAAACATAAGGAGAAGTTGATTTTAGTGGTAGAAGCGGTTTTCGTTCACAAAAAATGGTAATAATTAGTTTATTTTAAAGTTCACTTCATTATGAACTGGCAGTTGCTCCATTATTTCAAACAATAGTAGTTCATGATTTAGTATTGAAGCTTAAGAATGCGACTAAATTGCTAAAAGATTCAAGAAAATTAATTTGTTTAAGGAATAACGTTTTAAATGACAGTGGAATTGAAGTAATAGAGGTAATTAAAGGAACTGCTTAACGGGTATTTCTAAGGTTGCGCAGAATATTTCTGCGTTTTTGTGTCTGCAGTGATTTATTTATGCAATCAACGCTGGATTGTGACAAAACTTAAATCACTGCTCTGAGTTATCTAAAAAGTGTGATGTACTGAGCTTGTTTCATTGTAGCTTTAGTAAGTGCCTGTACTGTAGGGGGAAGGATGTGTGAAGATTACCTCGTAGAGAATCACCCCATAGGACGTATGTGTACCATTAAGGGAGATGGAATTTGAAATACTTCCATTTCTGGTGAGAAATTGCGTCCAGTTCACTTGAAGTTTGCTTGGTTTTGTATTGGTTTCCAGCATGACAATGGAAAGAGGTGCGTCGGGATGGGATCCGGGAAGAAGAAAGTGAAAAGTTGTGTTTGGGTGCCTTGCGATAATCTGGATCAGCTTTGTTTCATTTTTTGGGCAACTCGTATCGTTGTTACAACCTGGATTGCGAATGACCTGAAAGGTTAGCCCGTCACTGTGCTTCTCATTAAGTTCTGTTCCTGTTATAGTCGCCAACAAGATGAGAAATGTGCACACGTATCCAGTCATCTTTAGCCTAAAATGAATGAAATCACGTAGGAATCTGCATGAGAGGACTAGTTAAACGTAATTAAAAGGGTATTAGGTTAAATTTCCCCATAACAAGCGAATCACTTTAAGTACTTTAATCAAACTCCAGTATTGACTTAGAAATTAATTACAGCCCTGAGGATTTTAATCGGTTTCAACTAGGAATGAACTTTGAAATCCTTGAGAGTCGACCAGGTAAAAATATGCGAATTCATTCCAAACCACTCCCGCCAAATGTGATTATGTAATGTTTACGATTAATCGCTGGATATAGTCACGACACAGCATTTAGAATGTGCTTTCGGTCGAAAATAAGTGCCTTTTACTTTTTGGGTGTATCAAGTATAAAGAAATTTTTTTACGGATTGTAAGAAACAAGATAAACCCGATGAAACGCTCAGGCTTGACAGTTAAGAGTTAAAATGAAAGCACAAGAATAGGTGAGATTAAATAAAAAATATCACTATAGGATAGAAAAAGATTACCACGTATTTAGACATTGCGTATTTTGGCTTTTTGATTAATCATAAGGTTGTTTAAAGGTTAAGTCAGATTTCAGTTATTGAAGAATCTCAACACTTTTTATCACAGTAAGCATAGATCTTCGACAAGCAAGATCCCATACTACTTTGTTGAAATTCCTACATTAATAGGCACTTGCCCTAACATGTCACTAATAAACCATCCACTTTTAAAATAGAGGAATAGGAACCTACACTCGAATGCAACTTGCGAACCACCGAACACGGGTATATTGGTTCCACGGATCTGGTCTAATAAGCTGATTTGCCATGGGGCCAGGTTATATGCCGCAACACCCAACGCATTTTCCAAACGTAAATTGTTTATCTTGATAGATGGACCACGCCTGGTGAATCACAATCCACCAAACCTTGCAAATTACACGTAAGTAGGTAAGCCTTTTTAGGCATATCAATGAGCCCTTCAGCTGCGATACTTCAAATATCCGCTTTCTTGACCTATAGTCCATTCATTTTGGAAACTTTGCCTGCAGCTTATGTTCGTATGCATTATCCTAATTCCACACTATAGATTCGATTCAGCAGTACACCATACATTCATTTTCTGATAACTGGTGTGGGGACAGCTGGCAAAATGCGCTTCTTAATTGGCAATGGAGGCATTTCCTGTACCCCCATATCCGATGACAGAGAAAATGACCCATTGTGGAAGCAGGTAGAGTAAGCAAAGGTCTGTAGTTAGCGTAGATGTGAATGGCCACCCTTCTTGACGGCCTCAATTAAACACCTAATGACTACCCTAACCACCAGTAGGATCACGTGACCGGTGGGTGGATACACTACACCTGAAGTCATTCATTCCTAAAATACCTAACCTTCCCCCTCCAATACCTTCCTTTCGTTCACCTTACTGACTTGCTCATTACGTCTCGTTTTTAAGGTGATCATGAAATCATCATCCTGTGGTTCTTCAGACCTTAATTTCTAAAGCCACTTTTTTGCATAAATGTTTACGAAGAAAGGTTGTTTACATTACCCAGTACCGACTGGTGCTCACACTTTTTGCACGCTCCGTTGCACAGGGTTAGTTACAAAATGTGCTAGGCACAGGAGACTCCAACCATTCCACCTGGGTTAGGCCCAAAACAGCAATTCGAAAACAGATGAAATCTAGGAAACCACTTCTGGAGAGAAGTCGGATTGTTCTGAAGTTTAATGAGCATATTTTACTGCACTCTAAAGTAGAGCAGTAGTTTTTTCTTCTCTTTTTATAGAAAGTAAAGTACAGAGAGACAAATAAATATTCTGAGGGTTAATTGACGAGATCCTTGTAAAGAGCGGCAACTGCACCACTGCCAACTGAATAGCCTTCTTCTGGCAATTTAATACGGAACTAAAGCGCAAAATGAAAATGTGTAAATTAAATGAATAGCCCCACAAGGAGAGCTAAAATAGTGTCTGCCACTGTATTTAATCCCGTAAGAAAAGCCAAAGTGGACGAAAAAGGTGACTTCAAAATACTTGTTTATCATCAGTCCTATAATAAAGCAAACACATGGATTTGCTTTTCGAATAAGTTCATGATAGGCTTCCGAGGTTTTGTAATTTTCGGTTAAAAATATGGCATTAGGATGTCATGGTAACGTATACATTAGTAAAAGTTTCATTTTACGCTTCTATGGACTAATGTAATCAAAGCGCACAAATAATTGAGACTATGCGACAAAGTGTTCAAGAATATAAACAAACACAGAAACTGAACTGGAAAGTGAAATTGCCATCCATTGCATACCAACCTTAACTGCTTATGAGGTAATGCAGAATGGGAGTCTTTTAAAGAAGAAGCATGTGATCAAAGTACCAGTTGGTATTTTGAAAATATATTTGGCAAGTTCTGTACATTAAATGTTCTTTAAAGGCACATTGCAAATACGTATGCTAAATTAAACTGTCAATTTTACTATCCCAAATCTCTATTTCTTCATCAAGATTTACAATTACGGGCGGATCTTCTGATGAATAGAATGAATAGAGTTATTGTACCTTCCAGGAATTGCGTTCAAACACTCCTGAAATCTTTTGTGCCATTTATAAACCTATCGTCTACTAAAGTGCACTTAACACTTATATTTAAGATACACATATTCTTACAGTCATATGCTTGGGCATCAGGTCCGCCATCATTGTGAGCATCTGCTTGTAGAATGTGGGGTGCTTCCGGAACATGTAACCGTCCACAGCCAGAGTCAAGCGAAGTCGATTTAGCCGTTTCAAAATTGTTACTGCGGCTTTGATGAGGAGAAAATGAAGGCCAGGCCATTAGTTTAATAAAGACAAATCGTATCAAATATAGTAGTCAATTCTACCCTTTCGCCACAAATAAGTCACAAGCCTTCAGGTTCAGTACATGTGCAATACTGCGAGTAATAGATAATTTTGATGCGAAAATCAGAAGATATACTTCGTTTTACGGGGCAATTCAAAATGGTAGTCTAAAGTGAGGCTTGCGATGCTGCACGAGAGTACCGAAATCGGCCATTTATGTTTGGGAGAAGAATAAATGGAATTAACGCACTTTTAAGGAATGTTTGCTATGATAATTAGCTTACTCGGCGGCTGTTTCGTTCAATCTTTCTCACTTTAATTTGACATTCTACTTTGAGTTAGAATTATCGAAACAGGTGGGCCGTATCTCATCCTGCATAGTCCTATGAACTCTTTTCTTACGCTCGTTTAAGAGTAGTCCAGTTGAAAATGATTTTGGACGTGTCCATGTCATCATTAGTCAGTCAACCCTTACTGCTAGCATAACCAAAGCATAAACAAACACAATGGTGCTCTCGTCTGTACTGTTACATGATGAATCGGCACAATGTGAGGTACACCGAAATAAAACGATTGCATGTTTTATTTAACAAAACGAGATCACAACAGTACCATTCCTCTTGATAATGAACTGCTCACTCATAAAAGGTTCTTGAGACACATTTGAATACGACAATTTCTGGATTATTAAAAGTTTACTGAAGTATAGACCGTGAATATACCATAACCAGCGCAAAATGAGTCTGTCCCTTTGGTAATGAATGAATGTTTTTGGTTCTATTAGAGTTTTAGGGGAGTTAGAAGGGACTCTACGTACATAGTCTCATTTTTGTCAATTATATTGGCATTATAAATCAAAACTTGCATCGACACACTCGCTACCAGCGTATTAGGGGGAGATTTACCACCATAACTCAATGGTTGATAGCTTTTTTTCCCACCAATTCGACTGCTTTTCAAAAACCAAGAAGTGTACTTAACTTCCTCAGACCAAAAGCTAACCTAACCAGTTTGCTTTTTTAAATTCATTTAGTCTGTTTGAAACTCAAATTGGTGCAATTAGTACTTGTGAACTCATAAAGAACACGTCACGTAGTGGGGAATGTTCAAAAGAAAAAAGTTGTAACTAGTATACCAGCAGCTGAGAGGCAGGCAGAGCGGTACGTGACGGCGCTACAGACGTAGCGGACAATGTGGATATCCTCGGGTGTGAGATTGTGAATTTTCAAATCCTCTCGCAGCAGAAATTCCGTGCTGTAGAAGAGGTGTGGTGGATCACGATCGATCTCACAGAGGAAGCTTGCCGGGAGACTCCTGAGGTCGCGCAGGGAGGCTGGCCACACTCCGCCAAAGAGTTGGCCCCTCTCGGTGAGCAACTTTAAAATCTGACGAACCAGTTCGCCCAGGTTTTCGCCACTGACGAATTTCTCGAACCTATGCGTTAGCAACCAGGAGACACAAAACTCATTTCCCTTGGTCTGGCATAATTTTTTCCCACCTTAGAACGCATCTTCTTTCATAAATTTAATACTTTTTCATTAGTTCATAACGAAAAACAATAACCACTTTCTTTTGTTTTAGGAAATAGTACTTTGCCTTATGCCTGAAAGTAGCGTATACAATTTGAATCGTTCGCCAAATTACAAAACCCAAGTTTAAAGGTTATAAAGGGCCACTAAATATGGGAACCTGGAATACTACCACTCATTTGTTTTTGGGAAGGAAACTTTGTGTTGGTCAATTTCAAATCTATTCCTTGACTGATTGAGCCAATCTTTCCAATGCATATCAAATAGGATTAAACATCAAAGTACACCATTACCTCTAGCTTGATAATTTAAATAACTATGCAAGCACAAAACCTTAAAAGTGGCGATCTACTAACTGTTAACTTAATGTTCATTCACCATTAGGCGTTGCTGCATTTATCCTAAATTGAACAAGGTTTTTTATTATATATTGTTTATTCAGCAAAAACGAACGTGTTAGGTGATCAAGAGCACATATTTAGTAGGCAGTCTAATATGAATAGCAAATTTCTAATAATGACGAAGCAATTGTGAATAAACAACAGCAATTTAAGTTAATTGTACTATTCAAAGTATATTGGAATGCCGCATTTACCTGTAGTGAAGATATTTACATAACGTGGTACTAATTTAGAGTAATAAATTAACCCAAAATCCACTTCTCTCGGTATCATAATATGTTATATTAAAATAAGCCTTTTCATACAACTTTTACGTTTTATCAGTCTTATGTAACCTTTAGCATTGTTCTCTTCCAGCAAATAATTAATGCCTTTAGCAATTTAGCAACAAGAAACAGTGTTGTGGTGGACCGAAAATAAAAATCTGGGTATTCTGTTAAAGGTACATTGATGAATATGCACACTTTAATACGGAAGAGCAGCCTACGTATGCAAACCGGGTGCTGTTGAGATACGGTCGAGTCTTTTATCAAACTCCGTTATAAATCTCTTCAAGCAGCCGCCATCTCCGAATCCGCCAAGCTCCGTGTTTATCAAAACGCTTTTGGCGTCCTCATCGAAAGTTTCATCGCGTCGAATGTTGGAAATTCTTTCCTGGTAGACAGCGTTCACACCAGCATCTGCAATGCAAATGACTACATGAGTTTGCCATAAACAGCTTTTTCCACTAAGTTCTTAAGAGCCAATTTCATCCTTCAAGCAATTTAAGATTGTCTGCAAATGTTCACTTAGGTGAAGTGCCCGAAGAAATCCAGTGTGGCCCATGTTACTAAATACATTTCATTACACAAATAGATTTTATTCCCGTTAAGCTCTCCTATCAGTAATAAAATTGCAAATTTAAAGTGCTTGTCATTGTGTGACATGCCTCAGTCTTTTTCTATGATTCCCACGTTGTTACCAAATTTCAAAATTTAATTGAAAACTAGACGCAATCAAGGCAAGAGGAGACCAATTTAAAAGCGTGGCATCAGGCGACTTACTTAATGTGAAAGAAGCAGCACAATCAACTTCATCAACAGCACAAGCCTCGAGAACTGAAACGCAATCATTGACAATGGCGATGCACTTTACCTCCACAGCCTAGATACGTTAAGTGTTAAAGTGATGACAAGACACGTCTACCTTCCTATCAAGATGCCTTTGAAACGTACGGAGAAGCTCTGTCCCACTGCGTTGACGAAATTTAAAGCTCTTTGAGATAAAAAGTATTTCACCCGAGTTTATGGCTGTATTGTTAATGGCAAAAGGGAGGCTTAAGCAGGCGTGAATCAATCGATCTGCCAGACCTCTGCTTGTAAGGAATTCCTCCACGGTAGTCGCTATGTACTCAAATAACTTGAAGCATAAGACACAAAGAAGGTATTACCTCACTGAAAGAGCAACTCAAATACTGGTTCGGTAATTTAAATGTGGCAACATCGACATGAGGACGATGGGATCGTGATGAGAATGTGACAATCGCCAATTGGTGCTCGTCCCCGAGGAAATCTACTGCCAAATAGCGTCCCCTCTCTAAATAATTAAAGCTGACTGATGGCTATATACTAACCTAGACCATTCGGGGTTCTCGAAACATGTGTATTTAGCATCGGCAGATCTACCCTTGTTTTATCAACATTATTCAAGGATTTTGTGATTTCCAAATTTAATGATGCCATTATCTCTTCACAATCAACCTTCTTTATGAAAAATGGGAAACAAAAACTTCGAACCTAGTAAATTTTTATTAGATTCATAACACAACCATTTCATTTTTCATGAGGGGGATTGGATACGTTCTTATCTGTTCAACAATAGGTATTTCTATTCTATCGTGCAGAAAGCTTCATAAAAATAACGTTGAATCTCACACTCTGTTATCAACTAGATTAGGATCACCACTTAAAAACAACCCAAACGGTTAAATAGTGGAACAATTTACTCGGACTCCTCATTCCCGACCCACATACTTATTTCCGCTATACTTAAGCAAATTGCAACGCTCTAATAAACTGTATTTATGAGTTACAACAAAATCGGAAGACTCCATTGCAAAAGCACTCATATAAGCATCATGACTTACTAAAAAATTGCAAAAAAACATTTGACTCTGACTAAATTTACCAAGTAAAATAAAGTCCATAACACAAATCAGTATTTTTATTTTTATTGCTACACAAGGCCCGAACTTCTGTCGTGCAACATAGTTTACGGGATAGACTGGTAGCCGACGAGCACTTCCATATTGTACTTTAAGCCATTGTGATCCTAGGGCAGTCTTGGCCACCTCATAGTGAGGGAATAATCGAACGACATTCCACCTAATTGAGGGACGTAGGTATGATTTGTCTAAAGGTGTTCAAGTAGTTTATGCGCAAAAGCTTACCAAAACAGCCACCTTGACGGTTCATTTAGCTTCTTAAAAAGAATGAAAATTCTAAACAAGAAATATGCGACAACATTATAACCTTAATTAAACTAAACAAATAACAAATATCAAAAATTTTACTTATTTTTTCATTTTTTATATTACACTTAAAAATGCGTGAACTAAAATTATATCATGCGTTTGTATCTTTTTCAGGGACGCGCACCTCTTCTGAAGCATGCGAGTTTTGTCCCGGTCATCTGGTTTGTGGCGAGACTGGACTATTTATTTTTTCACCTATTGAGTACATCCAAATGAGCAAACTGGATGAAGTTCATGATTTGATATTTAATTTCGTCAAGAAGGACGTCGGCGGTGCTGACAGGGGACCATCTGAAGTATTTTGTTCTCTCTTATGTAGTTTGTAGTGCTTTGATCGCCGTCCTATATCATTGATGCTGGTCGCTAATAATGATCAGCTCGAGCGTAGTAAACTTATAAAGATTACAAATATTTGGCGTCCGGATTGGCTGAAAGAAGGTGTACAAGTTGCTTCTGGAAAACATTCCTCTATGTCCGCTTTTCCAAAGTAGGCTTTATTTTATGCCGACATTTAAGTCTTTGTAGGAAAGCTGACCTCCCAGTTGTTAAGAGAAAGATAACCTCGTGTTCATTGTAAGTCAAATTACCAACTTTTTACCTTCAGGCCCGACAAACTCATCCGATGTTTTCGGGATGAACACTACAACCCAGATGTGCACCATGTTTCGAAAAAGGGCATTGTTGCCTCGCCAGTTTACAACATAGATGATTTAGACCAAGCCTGGGTGACCACTGTTAATGAAGAGCGGACGCGTTTGCAACAGGAAAGGATCCAGGACTGGATGCTTGAGGACGTTTTAGACGCGGCTGAGCAGATTTGCTTCGTCAAGTCCCATCTTAGTACTCTGACCGATGAGGGGCTTAAAAATCTCGAATATGATGAAGACGCCAAATGTGATGTTTGTCAATCAGTAGGTTTCTTCTTTTGGAATGACTTTCCATAGTACAATGGTGAGGACGGCAACGAGTTGGTCTTTTGCGAAAAATGCAACGTGTGTGTGCACCAGGCCTGCTATGGTATCCCAAACTTACCAGATGGTCCTTGGCACTGTCGACTTTGTGAGATGGAGGCACATTTAACCGCGCGATGTGCGCTTTGTCCCAATAAAGGTGGTGCAATGAAACTTATAGAGTGAGTCACCCGTCATTCTTTTCTCTGAGGTATATAAAGTGCTTATTCGCGTTTTTTCCTTTCCCTCGTTAGTGATTACAGGTCTTGGTGCCATGTGAGCTGTGCGTTGTGGGTTCCAGAGGTTTCGTTTCAAGACGTCGATTTGATGGAACCCATCACCAATATCAATGGTATTCCACAGGCGAGAAAAAACTTGGTCTGTGTACTTTGCAAAATTCATTACGGCGCGCCTATTCAGTGCTCTGTGAAGAAATGTAAAGTGGCCTTCCATGTAACATGTGCTTTTCAGCATAACATGACTATGATACAGGAGCTCAGTGGATATGATGTTCGCCTCCTGGTGAGTCATTACTGTTTACCGCTTTCATTGTGGCTTACGCTCGACTCACTATTCGGGAATATCTGTGAGTCGGGGTGGTCCTTTGTAGGGGTATTGTTAATCTAACTGGGTTAGTGTCGATTCTTTTAAGTAACTCTTATGGTGACGGCTTTTAAAAAGGTGGTCTTATTACTGCCTATAGGGTCACTGTCCTAAGCACAGCAGTAAGGAGTATCAGTTGCGATTGGCACAGCTCCGGTTGTTGAAAAAGCCGACGGCTCAGCATGCTGACACTGATTTCACTCCTGTTGCTAGTAGCACTAACCCTCTTAGTCCCTCACCTTCGAAAAGTGACGCGTCGCCGGACAAATATGTACCCACCTCGGAGCGGTAAATTTTCTCCAGTATTCCTGTACTTTGTACCACATGAACTACTTAATTGTCTCCATTTATACCTCATTTCCTACTGATTATGATACAAGTTTTCTGCAAATACATTTCATCCTGTCGAGTGAACGCTGCTAGCAGGCACGTTTGATTACAAACTCGAGCACATGAAATTTGATCTTAAAGTTGAGCACCATTAAAAGGCTGTCACCTTTTATTCATAGTAGGCGGCCACGTGGACCAAGAAAGCATCAAGAGTAGGTTGTTTTACATACTTTACAAGTGTGGCTTTTTTCGTTTTCCTACATGGCAAAATTCAGTATTTTGTCTTATTCTGCTTCTTCACTGAAAAAAATTGAAAACCCTGGTTATGTTGGCATCGCTTTAACTGCTTATTCTCAACTGACAATGCATCAGTTGCACTAACTCTCACATTGATAATAAAACAGTGATGATATTTTTTCATGTAAGTTCCTTTTTACTTGAATACATAAGTTTCGGTAAGGTAATATTTTTTTCCCCAGTAAGTTAACTTATTTGCTATCTCACACTTAATTTTATCAACCCCTTTTTTGTATTATTATAGTCGTGTTCATGTTTTTAAGTTGATGCATAATTACTTTGAGCAAGTCTTTGACCAGTAAACCACTTTTACGAGAGGTGTGAATACAGCGTAAGGCTATGCTTTATTTTGCGTCTTCTTATGAAAACGCATTGAGTTTGTTAATATTTAGTCATCCTACCATTTCGTCTTGCAATTAGGTGACCAGGGTCTTTACATTTATCCGGGAAGATATGCCAATTAAATCGCTACATACTTGCTCTGATCCAGAGACCCTTTGTGTTTTAGCACGAACGATCCTACTGCCAACTTCTACATGCACGTCACCCGTGACGATGTTGTCGCTCTTCTGCACCGGTGGGCACAGCAGAGGAGCTCAAAACGGTCCAGTGGCACTACTTCTTCTGATCAGAGCCACCAGGTGCCTCTCGATATCGTTGAGCAGCTGCTCACCTATTGGCGCCTTAAACGACGCATCAATTTCAACAAACCTCTCGTTGTAGAGGTGCCTCAACGCTGGTTTACGGAGCCCCTGCCCTCTCCCGCCGACTTTCCCGTTAGCTCTGGTGAGGTTGTAGAACGCTGTAAGGATGTTCGCCTCAGTCTCGACCGTGCCCGTCTCATATGCGATATGGTGCTGAGCCGCGAAAAGAAGAAAACCACTCTGGTGCGCACCATGAAGAGCATCTCACATGTTCAGCTTGACACTGTGGTTGAGGATCCCGTAGCAGCTTGCGCGGATGAGGTGATAGCCAAGGCGCATATTGGGTCTTCAGTGTATGATACTACAGATTATTCGGCGTTGAGCATTGTTGAGAGTTCAGTGGTTGGGGGAGCCAAGGCGAAACCGGCCGGTTATATAATGACGGGTAATCCAGTGGTGGATAGTCTCCCCCCAGACCAGCTTGTTGTCGATCCGTTTATACTAGCACGACTGCGGGCGTCATTTTCGAGGAAGAGGGGCAGACGAAGACAACGACCCCTAAATGAGGGGCGAGTAGGAGCAGAGGTGTGTCGGCAGCCAAAACTCAGCGATTTCCTGACAGCTCCGGTGAGGCGGCGTGGAAGGCCGCGAAAGGCTCTTACAGCGGTTCAGACAAACAGTGACGTGCAGGCGATGGCAGGGCTGCAGGACCCCGACGACACCGAGGATACCCTTGATGTGTCCTATAATAGTCTATCCTAGATACTTTTTTCCCAGTGTCTTTATGTATATACTATACATACGTGTACTACCAATCGACTGTACATAAAATATTTCCGTGAACACTACAGTACTTGGAAACAAAGCGCCTAGAACCATACTCGTAGTCTTATAACCCTAGCAGGGAATGATAGACAGCTAGGAATAGGGGATGAAGTAACCATCGCCCTTCGTACGAAGAAGTGGATCGAGTTGAGCTGTGCGGTCCTACCGCCTTAGGTGGCTCTGCAGCAGAGAGTTGCATGTGCGGCCTCCATTACCTGAACTCAATGATGTCGAACACAGACGAGTTCGACTGGATTCGACATTCGGTTACCGCCAAGTGATCATGAAAGGCTTTATCGAGTAGGTATCCGAATGGAACTTCGCAGTCACTCAGTGCAACATTGTGCGAGTGATGTTGGGCCTATACACAGTGCTTACAATACCAGGTGCACTTGAGAGTTGGCAAATAAACCGCATGAGCGTCAGCGGCATAAAGAGCTATATTTATTCAAATATCCACAGTAATGTGCAAATTAAAAACCGATCTGCGAAAATAAACCATCAAGACGAAGGAATGGCCTAATCACATGTTATCTGTAACGCCGAATGCTGAGAAATGACATTCCCACAAAATATCGATACAATTCAATAGAAAACATTTATTAAAATATCACAATTTCAACTTTTCATAACCCTCTCCAGCTCTGCAACACAATCACGAACTAGAATACGAGCAGAATGAATATTTTTCTTCAACCTTTCAGCTGCGTTCTTGTTGTTGACGTAAGTGGGCTTTATATCCCGTCCCATTTCATCGATGACTTGTAAAAGGTGTGCATACTTAGTCAAGCCATCAACACACACCTGTTGGTTTTGGATCATCTGTGCGGGAGGATTAGGTTGTCCCGCCATAGCAAAGAATCCGAACTAACTAATAAAGGTGTTAAAAAATGAGAGGTCCATGCGAGCGATGCCAAAAAACAAAACAAAGTTAAACCAGCTGCATTACTTAGGATAAAACTAAGTACTGATCTAAAATGTGATTTTAATCCCAACCCCGCTCACATAACAATAGTTAATGTCGGCGAACTTTTGAATGCACACCAAATTCTTTGCATTGATTATAGCTTATTAGGAAGAGAGTCCTAGGATTTAGCGGTTCTAGCAACATTAGCAAAGTTTGAAATAAGAAGTAGGTCAAAATTCTACTAGCAATTATATGCTTTGAAAGAAATATAATAATGCCATCCTATTTAGAGTGATGTGCAAAATTCAAAAGAAAATGTATTAGTCCGTTTTAAAAATCAATCTTCGTACTTCTAAAGCAGCGCAATTAAATCCCAGCTGTTCAATAATGTTACTTAAAGATGTCTTAGTGTCAGCATTTCTTGGTTTATCCAGCGACTTACTCCAGATCAGCTGCGTATTTTAAACTGCTCTTTTGTTAACGTGGGTCAATAAGGTTTTGTAGGTGTTGGCGCATCCGGTTTTTCATTTCCTCCTGATAAGTGTGGTCTTTTAAATAAGCACATCTCTTACGAAATAGTTCCAAATAGCGTTCCATTTCTGTTCAGCTCGTTTTCAGTCCCGCCAAAATTAGTTCCAAATCGTGTTTTATGGGGAGTGGGTCGTAGCTGACATTTTTTGAAAAGCCCTTTTTAATTTCCTTTACCTCCACTTCAACATTTTCATTGAATATAATTGTTCAATTTTAGTGAAGCTTGGTCATGTCCTCAGTTTCCAATGCGTCTGAAAAGCGAAATCCTTTGTCAACATCATTTCATTCTCATTACCAAAAGAATGTCAGTTTCTGTCGAGAAAATGTCTTTCCTACACGTATAAATCCACACCAAAAATTATTTAACATTCCAAACGGGGTCAAATTTGCATTCAATAAAGAGGCTAAGTCCGCTAGCAAACCGACGCTTTCTTTGTCAAGTACTTGTAAAGAAAACATGAAGTCTACAAGTCCTGAAATGCCGACCACGGGGTTGCGTGTATTCTCAGTCCCCGTTCGACGTGTTCGTGGTCTTACAGCAGCATTAAACAAGCTGGACTCGTGCCCATTCATCTTTGAGACGGTTGGGCGAATTGTTGAATGTAAGAAGACGTCTTCTGCCTGTTGTGTCCTTACATTTCGCCTTGAGGAGCGGAGTGAGCGACCGCGTGGGGTGCAGCTGAAATGCCAATTTGAAGATGTGGATGAAATCTGTCCAGAGATCTTCAACGGGCGAATATATAGGTAATAATGGGTTTTTGCTTTTTTAATTTTCTGAATGGATATCCCAAACGCCGAAAAGTTATAGACTATGTCCAGGATGGTAATTTTAACGCCTTCATTACATTTTTAATGAATAGCTCTACATTAATGAGGAGCTTTTGTATCGCTACCATAACAAAACTTCGAAGAGCTTACTTAACCATAATGTGGTTATAATCTATTTTCTGCTTCCATTAATATTATCATTTTAATATAAAACAAGGGGAATGAATATACCACATGCATAATGTTGCAACTATAGAACTAATACGTAATCTGAACGAACTGTGTTTTGCAAGAATGTAATTTACTGGCGTAAAATTTTTTACACTGTTAAAGGTTAGTTCATATGGATGTTTTTTAGATGCGTTGGGAAGTTCTCCATGCATCGCAGTATCTTTCAGTGTTACTCTATTGCTCCATGTAACGACGTGGACCTGCAGCTCTTGGAGATATTTCAAATGCATTCGGACAATGTTATTGCCCAAATGTTGTCACGAAACTAAGCACTATCAGTTTGCCCAACCTCCTATCATAAAAATGCCATTTGAACAGCCATGCTTGTTATTAAAGGATTACATTTGCTTAAAGTAATTTTCGCAGAAGCTTTCGGTGAACTCATCTGGGATTGGACAGCCCGGAATTTAAACCGACTCAGGCCTTCTCAAATGGAACTTCAGCAGCAATTTTTATTTCCAGTAGCTTGGGAGTAAATTCCTAAAAGGACACCATTATACTCAATGTTAATTTTATCACATAAAAAATTGCTCAACACATGGAACTATGAAAACAGGAACCGACTCAAACTCTTCAAGACAAATGGACGGTGGAAGCAGATATTCAATTATTTACAAATTGCAGGAGTTATGCGAGGTGGGCGGGAAAGGAGAGAATAATTTAAGTGAAGAGGGCTTTGAGTTTGTCAAAGTCGATGGATGAGAGTCTGCGAAACTCCTCATTTACATCCTGACGCTTGACGAAGATGTCCACTGATGGTGTCGACTCGAGCCACTGTCGCAACACAGCTTCCTCGAAGGGACCCTCAATTCGTACATCTGCCTCTGCCGTCTTGGCCCGTTTCACCAACCACTTTGTTGCTGGCGTTACGCCTTCCTGCTTTTCTTCGGTTTCACCACCTTAGTAACAAAAGAAATGGGACCGTCTAGAGCTACCAATACAGCTGTTATTTGATATAAAGGAGACGGTAAGTGGGGATAATAACAGTAGAAGAACAACTTTATGGTATCAAAAGTTGTTTAGCCACCACGAAAAATAGTTACACAAAGAACCCAAACTCCAAAATTGGGGTGGTATTGTGAAAGTACATATATTAGGCGGTCGCGACGAAGCTCAAAAAACGTGGGGTTTTCCTCGGAATACGTACAACATCGAATGCCGCATAAGATTCAATGAGGATTAATAAATGAAAGTAAAAGACCAAATGAGGCTGTGTAAAACTTTAATACTAAATAGTGTTTTATGTGCCAGATAAAGTGCAAGCTGGAGGACAAGGAGCAAAATTTACCAACATTACTGCGTTGAAAACTGGCCAAAATAGACACGGCGGAGGAGGAACAAAATAAAATTTGTTGGAAACAGAGGGAACTAGTCGAAATGCACAAATAACGTAAGTTAGAGCCTCAACTATTATGTACTCTATGAAAATGTTTTATTATAGCAATTGGAAAAGTAGACGAACCATTAAATTAACGGTATTCAAAAACTAAATATTGAAATTGGCAGAGGGACTCATGTAGAACATTTTGCAGCAGTTAGAAGCAGGTCGCCATCTCAACTTTTGACCCTAGGTATCTGAGTGCGGGAGTGAGCCGGGACTACTAAGTCCCAATCTAGTCAGAAAGCTGTGCTTTGTTTAAAAAAAGTACACACGTGACGGCTCGATGCCCGCCTCATCATCAATTACAGCACCAAGAGCGTTCAATTCGTTTTCCTCGTTGTTCTGTGTCCGAGAAGCGACTAGATCCTCGATTACTTCTTTGGTTTTCTGGTAGATGTCGAAATCACCGCTGCCCAGCAGATCGTTGGCCAATTCAGTAAGACTCGCAAAGGCCTCAGCGTTTGCACTGTTCCGCAAAAAAAAAAAGAATTAAGGCGTTTACTATCGAATTTTTTAGCACGAGTGTATTGTGGTGTAGCATAAAAATTGAGGACATGAGCTAGCAACGAGAATGACTAGTCACTTTTCAAAGACACGTTGCAGTAAAAATAAGATCATTTTTAAATTTTTGAGTCGGAGATGGGCTTAAAAATGTTCAACAAGAACTGACCCATTTGAAAATACATCTTCGCGCTACGAAAACCAATACAAGATATTTCAGAGAAAGAAGCAGGTAGGACAAACCGGGACGATACTATGGAAGTCGAAGAGCTGCAAAAGCTATGATCTTAGCAGAAAATAGCAAAGTTGAAGGCAAAGCAAAATGATGTAATAAGACAAATCAAGATGGTTTCAATGTGATGCACAACAGAAAATGCAGACTGGATTTTTTTTGCCGTCAATTGAAAAATGTACATAGAAGTGTCTTCCACACAAAAAGACTCCACAAAAAGTTGGTAAAACCGCAATGCAAAACATGCAATAGAATTGGAGAGAATTTTGTGGAGAGGTGACTTCACCATGGACCGCTAGACAGGACATAATTTGGCCGTAATATAGCAGTTCAAATGGCCCAAAAAGTTTTTGTTAGAACATAGAAAAAGTCCACTACAGCGGAACAGTTTGGTATCTGAAAATGCAGGCTACAGAAACTCGAAGATGCAACTAAGATCCGTGGACTAAAAATACGGCCCTTTCAAAGAAAAGGCTTTGTGGGCGTATGAAATGCGTAGTACAGCCCATTAAACGCATTTAAGGAACGAGCTTTCGACACAAAAACACACTTCGAGATCCAGAACGAAATTAAGGGTACATAACAAAGGGGTAGCGCTATCGCATGCTTCTAGCTTTCGGATCCGAATAAGTGCTATAATTTGTAGCATGAACCCCATGCTCCTTTACTGAGATGACTGTCGAAAAGATTACTCGAAACTATGGTGCTTTGAGTTAGTATAAGATAGATAATATCTGATTAGCAAAACAAAATTTGGCTTCAACTTGAAGGAGTAGTCATTCTCAACACAAGGCGCATTTTGACCCAAAGGTTAGTCGACTTAACGTCAGAGATTTCAAAGAAACCCACCAATCACTCTCAGACACCATAAAAACAAGAAAACCAGTCTTAAACTACATATACAACAACCGACATACGCATCATCCGGTGAGAGAGTCTTCACGGCACTAGCAGTGCTGCCGTCCTTCCGGCGCATCCAGCTCCGTCCCTGAGCAGTGGAGGTGGCAGAGCGCTTCGGGCCGAGGCGGCGAAGGGCACGCAGCACCGTTTCGCCGGGCCGAAGGAGGGAGGCGGCACGGTGATAGAGCTCAGTCTGCAGATCAGCCGTTACTTCCGGTAACGCTTCCTCCTCAACTATTGTTGTCGCCTTAGGCCCACCACCGCCGCCTCCACCCGCCTGCTCGTTTCGACGCACTTCATTCCAATCGACGTCCTCTAACCAATTGTCACCCACGTCGTTGGTCTTTGAAAGTGAAAATAGACGATCGGGGAGACTATTAAGCAAAAGGATGGAACGAAGCTTTAACCTATAATACCAAGCAAGGAAAAACAACGGATGTCAAAGGACTAAGAGTGATAAGGACAATGCAGAAGTACTAATGATACTGAAATAAATGTACTAAACAATATTCTCCATGTGGCTGATCAGTGAAAGGTTGACAGTGGAGAGCAGAGGACCAGTAACGCAAAAGAACAGAAGATGGAATAACAAAGGACTAATTACAAAAAGGATGCAAAATAACAAACTCACTCGCTTGAAAATAAAGGTTCCACTTGCATCAAAATGGCCCTCCTCTTCCAACTCTTCACGCATATTGAAAGGAGTTATAACAATATCGCTATCAAAGCCAATTGTTTCAGGCTCTTGGCCAACTAGGAAGAAAGGCATTACAATTTCAAAAAGCTGATAATACTAGATTAAAAATTTTCATGACACCAAATATATGGCAAAAATAATGAACAACTTAAAAGCACTGGAATGGCATTCGATGACACAAAGCACCTTGCAATTCTGCCTCATCCATTCGTCCACCCTCTTCATCATCACCAATTTCTTCATCACTTTCCAGCGTATTCTTTGAAACTTTCTCTTTTTTGGGTCGTTTATCTTCGTCTTCTAAATGGACCGCATGACGCTTCACACTCGCCATTGGGGTCGTAGGCCAGTTTAATCATATGGTATATGTTTGGCTATTTAAATTCTGCATTTATAAAGTAGCCCAAACGCAGCAATGAAGCTATTAGAGTTGCATAAAGCTTGAAATTCGAATGCTAGATTTGCAAGCATCATGCCAGCAAATAAACCAAAAAGAATCCAAAGAAACACACAGTGAAACCCCCGGTCTTACAATTCGTAAGAAAATTTTTTTAAATTTGCGTCACACAAAAAAAATTAAATTGGAGCGAACCTTTGTTCAGATTTATGTGGCTTTATTAATTTACTTTAACTTCGCTTAACGTTTGCGGTCATTTCCTTCATACCAGCCTAAGTGGTTTGTGCAGGCATGATCTCGTCTGACCAACCAAGTTGCGTCACGCTGGAGACCAGGTATTTCGTCCGATTTAGGGTTTTTTAAATTATAGTCAGGGGTCTATAGTAATTGAGCTTTATTGGAAGCATGCGCCACGGACGTGTAGAAACTTTGCCGAATTGGCCAAACGTGAATACTACAACGGGGTTCCTTTTCATCGAGTTATTCGAGATTTCATGATCCAGGGGGGTGATCCAACAGGCACTGGACGTGGTGGTGCTTCCATATACGGACGCTACTTTGAAGATGAGATCAGTCCAGAGTTGAAACACACAGGTGGGCTTCGTTGCTATTGCCTAACTTTTCCTAGGCGCTGGGATAATTTCAATGGCCAACTCTGGTCCCAATACGAATGGAAGTCAATTCTTTATTACGCTAGCTCCAACGCAATGGCTTGATGGCAAGCACACAATATTTGGTCGGGTGAAGTCGGGAATGCAGGTTGTCAAGAGGTTAGGGATGATCGAGACCGATCCAAATGACAGGCCTGTCGAGCCAATCGTGATCAACCGCGCCTATCTCACCCCTGTTGCATAATGTTTCTATTTTATAATGTATATAAGATTGTTTCCAAAACATTCCCGCATTTATATTTGAGGCGATACACACCCGCTTTCGTCTTCAACTCGGCAACACCATTATTGGCATTTGGCATAAAACATTCAGGTACGTATTGAGGAGAATCGCATCACCATTTTGAATTGACTTGGATGTTTAAGTGACTTCAAGCTCTACTTCCGACCTATTCAGTTCCACATTATCCATAAAGTCGTAGATGTTCTATGTAGCTTCGCTGAAGCTGTTGCAAATTACTGTTTTGAACCGGCGTTGGATATTTGCTTCACTGGTCGACATAAAACGTTAGTTTTGAGTTGGGAGGGCCTTCCATCGCACGAGCTTGTTGTGGGGTGTTAGTGGCGCGATGAACTAGGCTCTGCCGTTCCCAGATCACTGTGAAGTTGGTGTGAAAGGCTCTGGCGGCGTCGCAGCTGTGATTTGCCCAAATATGCAGATGAAAAGCGGCTTGGGCACTCACCCATGCAAGGAATCGCTCACAGCACTAAAAATCCGCGGTAGGAAAACATTGGAAGGTGCCGATCGGGACTAGCGCGAACAGCCTGTTGGGGCGAGCCCACTATGTGAACCGGACGAGTGCAATGTCCAAATTGATTGCGGAATATGGGCGACAAGGCGGTATCCAACTTTCAAAAGGATAATCAATAAGCAAGCCAGAGAGGATCCGACCGCGCCACGTTGCACGTGATCGCCCAGGTTCATTGAATAATCTGCATACGCTAACTTTATTACCTCTAGCTACAGTTTATAAGTGGAGTAGAAGTTAGTTCTTGAGCACATTCTTGAGTATGCTGCAGTTTCTATTATAAACGGGTGTTTATTTTATACCACGTCAGAGTGGAACCGAACAGAGCCGAAAATGGACGGATATCTGGACGTTTTGCTCCAGCTCATCGATAGGCGAACGGACACGTACATAACACGGCTGGAAGAGTTGGTTGCCATTTCGAGCATTTCGGATGATATTAATCACCGACTGGACGTTCTGAAGGCTCTGCGTTGGTGTGGAATACGGCTAAAGAAGTAGGATTATTTATATTTTTATGACCATACTTATTTGAAACGAAGTTGAACGCTTAAATTGTGTCTTAGTGTCGCTGCAGCCAAACAGTAATGACGTCCTAGATTCAATTATTTAATGCAATTATTTTATTAAATATTCGACAAATTAACGCAATCTTTCCGAGGAAATTAAAGCACTTGACTTGTCTACCGGAAGACGAAAACTACGAAAATATTTTGCCATATTTTAATGGAATCATCAAACTTATGATTAAATATTTATTTGTGATTGTTACCCTGCAAATAAAATTCAATATTGAAACTAATTAAGATGCACATTCTAAACAATACTGCTTGACTGTACTTCTAAGGATGGAAGTAACTTAAGCTCTTTATCCACACAGTCGTACTTGGTAAAGTTAAAAAGAAGTAAACTGAGGAGATGAATTCTCTTATTTAAAAGTCTTTAGCCTAGTCGCTTTTTAATCGAAGTATAGAGACTGTAATGGAAACCCAATACGTCTGTTATTTTTGTTGCCAAACTACATCATTGCTGTCGTGGATGTTTTTCACAAACAGCATTTAGCAGAGATTTTGCCCCTAACATCCCATAAAACCTCTGTCATCGCCAATGACACTTTGACATTATAAGCAAATTTGTAACTTGAAAATAATTGGGTTGGAAAAATAATGCCGACCAGGATATTTTCAGCGTTTGAGATCACCTTCTATGGAAAACACCAACATACGATGCATACTATATTGACTAACTGGGCTTCAATTGGGCAACATTTACAGGTGTTGGACACAAAATACAAAAATATTTTGCCATCAATCAAAATGCTTCCTTCAAACCAGTCCTACCGTAGCATAATGCAGCATTGTGTTTCCCGCTGTAGGTTTGACATTCTAAACACTGCATCAATGAAGATTATGTGATTGTACCAATGCATGGTATTCACAGCCTATATAAGCTTTGGGACAAATATAGATCATGGAAGACGCATCAACCTACTTCGCCGTAGCACAGAGTTTGCTATCTGTTTGAACTCCCCATTCCATGAATACAAGATAATATAACTCGATGAAATTTGGGATGCAGAAGATTATATTTCACTGTCTTGGAGGGTTGGAAAACCGTCAGCGCTTGTGTGGAATAGCCCAACGATTACATTACGCAATTATGAAAAGATAATACTAATCTGGTGCCAGAGGCGCTCTTACAATTACGAGGATTTCAAAACCTATCGGCACATGTTCTAAATACTTTGTACCTGTTGAATTACATTAATATAAGAAATACATCGGCCTGATAAAGTGCAGAATCAAAAAGAAGTTTTCTTTCGCTACAGCATCGATTTCGATGTCGAATAACATTTATTAGCGGCGCTCAAGCTGCTTATTTGAAAATAACAGCAAATGCGTGATACTGGTTAAATGAAAGATACGTTTAAGCTAATTCAAAATCTTCAAAGACCCTATTCTATGAACTTGCCTATATATATATCGGTCTAATGAAAATGGAATCTAAAATGGCCCTCTTTTGTAAAGATATGGGTTTGGAACTCTGCTAGAAATCGTTTGAAAAGCTCAACATTTTGTTTAACAAATGCATGGGAGTATATTGGTCCGGTAAGGTGCCGATTTAAAAATTAGCTTTTAAAATATTACAACGCTTGTTGAAGATCTTCACAGATCCCGCTCAATCGCCATTCTGAAATGTGTCCATTTGGTTAGAAGTAGAAGCAGAAAAGACTCCCCTTACTACCGTATGAATTTTGGAATTGACTTGAGCTTAGTCAGACTACTCTTGGCCTTAATTCCATAGGTGGAAGTTTGCTCGTTCGATGCAACGCGGGCTATAGAGCGGTTTACTTTGCTATAGCATTAATTTCGAAGTCCACTACCACCTATCAGAGATACCCTAGGATTACACTCCATAATTTGAGATAGAATAAATCATTTAAATACTAAATGGAAAAAAGGATTCTTTGACTGTAGCATGGGTTTTGAGATCTGCTACCGTAATGTGGGCGACGAGGACATCTATGAGGGAGAGTCGTTGCCGCTGCACCCGACGGAACGGGTGCCGCTACCCTTCGTGCTGTGCGCCAGTCTGGGTCACGACCTCACCAAACGCACCCTTCTTATCTATGGCCACGTCGACGTAAAGGCCGTGACACCGCAGGAAGCCTGGGTCACGAACCCCTTCAAGCTCACCATTGTTGAAGGGCGCATGTATGGACGGGGCGTGGCTGACGACAAGGGACCCTTGCTGGGCTGGATCAATGCCATTGAGGCCTATATGGCAAGCCGCATCTTCAATTACTCGAAGTTATTTGCTCAGAATCGGAATCCCTGAACCGTAACCTTTTGTGCTTTGTCTGGGAGGATTTAAAAATGCCGCTTTATTGCTAAGGTTGTGGCTTAAAAGAGGACAATGAGTACCTACAAATATTCCTCCTTCAAATGACAATTTAAAACGCAAACTGAACGCTGTTTTATACAGACTTCAGTATGTAGTTGATAGCACTAATCTTCAGTTTTAAACTACTACTAATAGCCTTTGTAAAAAGAGACCAACAAATCTAATTTTTCGTTTAAAATAAACTCGATCCTTGAGGCAACAAACTTCTCGCACTCTGGATTATACGTTTGTGTCAAAATTAAGTCTCTATTCATGTTACATTCTCATTCAAGTGCTAATTATACAGATGTGACATGCGGAAGGCTTTGGCCGATCGGATGGACTACTTCTTCATTGCATTGCTTTATATGGTAGCTGTACATTATCACACTAGATTTTTCAGTACAATATCCTAAAGAGATTATCCGACTCGTAAAGCTTGATGCTTGTAAATCACACCTCTACATCCAAATTAGAACAGTAAATTTCCTATTTTCGACATTTCGAAAGTGTTCAAAATGTCACTTCTAGTAATTAACTACTGGCTTGTAATTCAAAATGCGTTGACCTGTCAATTAGGTTACTTTCATAGTCATGGAACAACAAAATTATGTTTAGATTTGTAATTCTTCAGAACTTATCATTGGCGTAACCTTTTGAATGGGTATCTTTTTATTTGAATTATAAGCATTTGATATTTACTTTTACGAAAACTGTTTCATCAAGGTCATTGGACTACCCGTGATTCTGTTTCTGGGATGGCCAATTTTTCCTACCATTTCGACTTTGTTTTGGGAGTTATCTAAATGATGTTTTTATAGCATGGTAATCTTTGATTCCATTAAGATTACCAGGTTTGACTCGCAGAATCGCCGATTTGGATGTTTGGCTTCGATGCATATTTTACAGAAGCAAAGGTGTCTTAACAGCGATTAAATTCCACACCACCCTGAGATTGGCAAAATACAACTTAAAGTATTTATAAAATAGCTTTATATCATAATCTGCGTGGAAGCATACAATATGCTTAGAATAAGAAGTAGGTATTTTTAGGTAGGAAAATTTGGCGAATATCTATGTGTACTTAGTACAAAAATGGAATTCTGTTTATTTGATTAGATTCACAAACACTACTTGGTCATCCTTCACTGGCTAGGTCATTACAAACTAATTCGTTGGCTGCATTTCATAAACGTATGCAACCTGTTGAAGCTGCATAGGTGTAGTTCCCGTAAACGCTTTTACAAATCCTATAAGTAGTTGTTATGCGGTCGACTTTTGGTACCTTTAGCAATGCAACATGGAGGTTCCGGTGAATGTGCGATTTCTAATTGAAGGTGGGGAAGAAACAGGCTCGGAGGGTCTTCCCGAGTTACTACAGGAGATGAAAAAGGATTTTCTGAAGGTGAATACCAATTCCATGCTGCAGTGTGTGGGCGACTACAACGTGTTTAAATTTTGCTGTATCACCGACATTAACTTGTCCTGAGATTAGATTCTTAAGTAAATTTATTTTCAAATCCAAACCTAAAACGATTGGAATGGGGCATGATGATACAACGTTTGGAATGTGTTAATAGTTAATTTTTAGAAGTGGGGTATCGTGTGTGGGGTAAAATGCCGTATTTTTGATTTTTTTGGTGATGGTAAAGCAACAAAATGAAAAATGTTATGGAGCCTAGAATCTCTGAAAGCTGTGCACAGGTACCCTTTCAACGGAACGCTCAATTTGTAAAAGTTACACAATATAGGTGTCGGTGAATCAACGCTTCCGCCTTGCTCGCGAATAAAGCCGGGCATTTTGTTGTATTTGTACTAGTGCCTTTATATTTATGCTTTTTAATTCATTTTAATAGTTTTATCTATTTATTCATTCTTAACTTAACTAATTTTGTATTATATGTTTCTGGAATTAAGTAAAGAAGCCCAGTATTAGGTTTGCGATTAAAACAAAGCAATCGCCTTGCTAGCACCCTTCTTCCATATGTAATTTTGACACAGACTGACAATAGATCAACATCATATAGAGTACGTTTTCGAATGACATCAAAACAGTCATGTTCCATTATTTAATGCACCATTTGATAACGTTTTGAGAAACTGCAATGCATGAGAAACTAGCCCAAGTCAGAAATACTCGATGTGGGAAGTTATTAGATGATATGTCTATATATATTTCCAGGTGTTAACAATGTTTAGTACATAACTTGCCTCTCGCTTGAGATTTTTCGATTCTGTTTGACCGATCACCACATTTATTTATTTGTCAAAGACATGTGGATTCAAATCATACGTGCACCGTGAAAGAATTATATGGAAAAATTATAAAAAGTGTTATCTTAGGTATTTAAAACCCAATCCAACTTTCATGAAACCGTGTATCCAAGTCCAGGGAAAAACATCTTTTAAAAGAGGAGAAAATGAGGCTAATTTGAACATGTCACCAAGTCTTTAAGGGATTGATGCAACTATAGTTTCGTATTTCAATTCGATCCTATATAATCAGTGTCTAATTTGCCTTACAACAGCATTCCTATACTGCAAATTTAATGTCTATTACTTGTTTCCTCCCTTACTAAGCACTTCGATCAAATCACTTCATTTTAGTCTACCTTAATGTGGCCGTTGACGTTTTCCTCCAACTTTAGGATATCGACTGTGTAGCGATTTCAGACAGCCACTGGCTGAACATAGACACACCCTGCTTAACCTACGGTCTTTGCGGTGTCATTTATTTCTACGTCTACGTCGAAGGCTCAAAACGTAATCTCCACTCCGGTTGCCACGGTGGCGCAATTCAGGAGCCATTAATCGACCTGCAAGCTCTGATGAGCTCTCTCATCAGTGAAAATGGAAAAGTTCTCATTCCAGGCGTCTACGATTACGTGAGGCGACCAGAGAAAGAAGAACTCGAGTAAGTCTCTTATTCCCTCCTCGATGTCTGTTGATTTTAGTTTTTGCTATTGTGAAACGTCCCTCCATTTCAAAGGCGTTTTGCAAAACTCGACTTCGACCCGGATACCTACACCAATCAAATACAAACTTGGGCACTCTACAGCAGGGATAAAGTGGAGATTTTACGAAGAAGATGGCTGTTGCCGTCAATTGAAATTCATGGAATCGAAAAGTCATTCGATTCAATGGGTGCCCCTACACTCATACCCAAAGAAGTGAGTTCGCCATTAGGAAAGTTGATGTTTGGTTAAGACTATGTTCCTGTCAGCATAGTTTTGATATTCAGTGGATAAACCGAGGTCCTCGTTTTGGTATGTTCCTGTCTACTTTATGGACAAGCTGAGTAAATACAAGCAGTCTGCTCTTCTATCGCTCTTGTACGTCAAGGAATTTCCGTGAAGTATTTAACTACTTTTGTTAGAAATAACAAAACAACGCAATTTCTAAGGTACACTGAAGTTTGGATGAGCTGCAAACCTGGCGTTACAATAGATTTAATTGGCATCAGACTAAGGTGAAAGAAATTAACTGAATCTGGTCATTAAAAGAAATTAGTCTGTAGTATGGGTCAAATACGATGCAAAATACGCTTTCCTAATATTAAAATTTGACATCTTTATGTACCGCCTCGAGTCATTCCTAAAGAAGAAAGAATATCTAATACCAGGGCGGAATGCGCATTGCTGATGTACAGAAGGTAGGGAGGTTACTGACATGGTCCGGAGGCCATGCCTCCAGAGAAAGCACAAAAGCGGAATCCTAAGTTCCTGTGAAACCAAATTGAAGATTTAAACAAATAATTGAAGCATCACATTCATTAGAGTAATGGAATGTCAATTTACGGTACTCGTTATTTTAACTAAAAAAACTGCTCCACCTCTTCTCTACCCAAAAGGAACAAAATGTCAATTGCACTTTTATCTGCGTTTTTAATGTTTTAACACGTTAGAGACTGCTTCTGGGTGATTTTAAACAAGATTTTATTACACGTATCAAACATGACAATGAATTTGGTAACCACTTAAGGCAGCTTAATTCCCCCTACAAACATAGCTTCACTCCATAGTCTGACTACTTGGGAACGGAAGCACAACCTCGGTTGATAGATAAAGTACAGATTGCTTGTTCAGCAAAATACTATTACACATTATTCCGCCTTGAAACATCATCAATGATTTACTTTTGACCATACGTTAAGCCCATGTCACGCTTTTTGGAAGTGATGGTAGATTTTATAAAGTACGGGAGAGATTACATAAAAGGTTCGTTTTGAGGATTTTGGATCTGTATTATTGAGTCCCAGTTAGTCCCAAAGACGTTTTAATACTTGACGGTCTTAAAAAATAACCCTTATTTATGCCGGTAATGAAAACTGGGATATTAGTGGCATGTGGACCATGAGCGCACTTCCACGTCACTACCATGGCAGCCGAAGTGCTTCATCGTAGGCTGCCGTCGTAAATAATTTTCGACTTCTACAATATCACAACATTAGATCAAATGAAATCATGAGCAAAACAAGACCCCAAGCAAACAGGAAACGCCCTTTGTTTTATTCATGACAGTGCACATCACAGGCTTTGATTTCTCATGCATTATGTTGGAAATAGTGTTAGACGCAGATCGATGACAATCACAATTCCTCGAAGAGTTTTTTAACAAATAACACATGTATCATAACTAGAAACTGCTACCATAACAGCAGTTTTAGCAGTTTGTCAAGGATTATTTTCATTCATTCAAGGTTCCGTTGATGACCAATATTTTAGACTTAGAATTAGAATCGTTGTCAAAAGTAGGCAAGGCTTCCATGGCTTTTTTTGTAAGTCTTCAGAGATTTTGTCCATTTGCAATAGATGTCTTTCATCTATGATACTGGGGCCCACTGTATAGTCAGCGCAGTAGGGAATTATTATTCCTTTAGAGTGTTTTCTAAAGCTCCCCAGAAATTAGCGGCCGAGTTATCCATAAAGAGTTCATGGGACATATAGGTGGAAGAAGAGCTGAGAGATGAGCAACATAGCTACTAACTAACAGTTTGGCAATCCACTTAGTCACATGCATTTGAAATCAATCCCGCTCTTTTCTTGTGCCATTTATTTACAGGTAATGGGAAAATTTTCACTTCGCCTGGTGCCAGACCAAAACCCACGATTCTTAGCAAATAGAGTGAAGTGTTACCTGGAGGAGGTGCACTTACGTCGATGCAGCGGCAATAAACTGAGAATCAAGGCCTTCAGTGACGGCCGGCCCTTCCTCGCCGACCAATCGTGTTCAAACTATCGCGCCGCATACGAGGCATTGAGGCACGTCTGGAAGAAGGAACCCGATCTCATTCGCGATGGTGCCACCATTTTTATGGCCGGGGCTCTCGAGGTGAGTCCGTTTTCCGCATCTGCTCACCCTTAGGGGCCTACGCCATTTAAAATTTAGTGTTCCCGTCCTCCTAAGGGAAGTTATTGGATGAGCAGATCTGGTCTGGAAGAATTTGGTTATTTAATTCAGAAGAGGTGATTTGCTGCTGACAGAAATGAATTGAATAGGAAGGTATACTACTAATATGGTGGTAGAAATCCATAGAGACTGAAGGCACTACCAAAAAGCCAATCCATTCCATCACGATCCTATTTGTCAGCCCTAGGATGCACTCATTGTGCGGGGTATAGTTTTGTTGAACTAGTAGCTTAAGATTTAAGTGCTCTCATTATTTCATTTCTTTTTACCCTAATCCTCCCAAATGCTTACTATAGTTATTCACAGTTCCTTGCGACATGCAAATCTTCTAAGGTGGTTTCATCCGTTCTCTAAGCTTATTGACCTCTTTTGAAACCTAATAAGCGAATCGTAAATGAAATATTGGGTCTCCTGCTAATTTGATTTCATGCTACGGACCAGGAAATGCCGAGCCAAATTCGCCTAAAAATTTAATAGTATTTCATTTCGTCCATTTCATGAGCCTATGTAAATTGTAACCTCCGCCGTTTTGCTTATTTTTCGTCAAAATTTTCCAATGAACTTTAAACAAACTAGAGAAATGGGATAACCTGAATTAATGGGAGTGATATATTTATTTATAAAATCAATTAGGTTTCGGCACCCCATTTCACTTTTGATGGCACTTCTAAGCAAAGTACGTTCAGCGAGTCGAAAGTGCCTTCCAAGGTTCCCAGTAGGGTGTCTTTGTAACGTTCGAGCTGCCTGTTAAGACGCTATGGGAGGCACGAGTATATAAATAAGCTTATAATAAGCATATGAAATGGCCGAGAATTCGGTAGCACAGATGGCATGAGCAGAGCTGCACGTCACCTGGGGAACAAAGGACCCATCGTCATTATTCAGTGTCGGTAATAATAACAGTATTTGGCGGATTAAAATTGGATGTAAGAATGAAATTAAGACCTCATAAAACACATTCGTTATCATGAGAAGCCATCCAACTATAAGAGTGTAGTGGCCCACTGCGTAGGCTGTAGACAAAACGAGGTTCAAAACTAACGAATAAGTGGCATAGTATGATATGACCCCTTTGGTCTACTTTCTGTTTGTATCCATTCTTTCAAACTTGTTATCTTCATGCGACCCTATTATATGCAACATTGTATCAATCGGGTCCTCTAATCTTTTTGCTTATAACCATACAAATGAATGAATGTGTGGATGTGTATGCATATATGTATTGAACTCATTTTTTGATTCGCAGTTTTGAATCGTTCAACTCTGGTCCCAGTTAATCTACCCCATCATACGGATTGGGGTATTTCTGTCGCGATTCTCAAAATTGTTCCAAAGTTACATTTGACCACCCACAGCAGACTCATTCCTTCAAATAAAGAACCAGAGTACTGTCTAACTAACCAAATCAGTATTGTGGTTTTACTAGGATTTAGTTGTTGTCACTGCCACTATTGTGGAAGCCTGGAGAAGGGATGGAAATCTGGTGGCGGCGCCGATGATATTAGTAGGGCTTTATGCCAATGAAGCGAGTCTGCATAAACATACACCAATCCTATTTTTTCATCGCAGTAGTGCATAATTATGCATTGCATAACGTTATTTGTAACAAGAATGCGACGTAGACTGATAATGTCGAAAAATGTCAGAGTTACTCAAATCTGGCCAAGTATGTTTCAAAGTATCTTGAATGGTGTTTGGAAAATTTGTCAAATTTTGGCAGGACCGATGTTCATATTCGGTTTGCAGATAGTACCATTTTCAAAGTGTGATCGCTTTTATAAATAGCATAAACGATACGTACAATGCTCACAGTAGGTGAGTATCCCATAAAATTCGCAAATCGCTAAAAATCCCCTTCCTAATCTGCGAGGATTCCCACATCAATAAAACGTTTACATGGTATGTAAGGGCCAACACCACAAACTAAGACTAATACATCCAGTTGGCGTTGCACCAGCTATTCATCCACTTTAACTGAAGTAGCTGCTAGACTTTAAATTAACTTGGTAAGAGCTGCTTTTTAGGTTTTGAAATAAGTGAATTTTTCATGAAATTTGGTTTTCATTTATCGTCAATAGCAGCACTGTTGATCCTCCAGAATGCAAAATGCCTCTATGAATGAGTGGTATTTTGATGATGGGAGTTCTGATAAAGGTTGTATTAATCGGTTCTCAATGCATGAGTTACTGAAACCTGTTCTTGCCCAAATTTGCATAACCTTTTAGTCAACTTTCTGTTTATTAGGAGGCCACGAATCGTGACGTAGTTTTGATTCCAATCAGTGAAAACCAGGATTTTATTCACGATGGACCTGAGTGGATGTCAGTGCGCAACTATATCAATGGTATCAAGGTATTCGCCACCTACCTGCACAAATTGCGCTGCCTTGGTCTAGCGGACCCAAAGGATGAAGCGAGAAAGCAGGACTTGCGTCTAAAGTGGCGCAAATATCTTTGGTAGACTCTTTCTTCCAAAATCCAACCACAAAAATAGGGGCCATGCTAGTCCCTCCCAGCTATTACTTGATCCTCCTTTTCCCCATCTTTCTCCTCGTGTTTGTAAAGGAAGCAAGATTTATCTCTTGAGCTTTCCTCTTTGACGCCATATTTTGAACGTCGAAAATATTGATTTGGAATGTTGATACCTTCCATTCCGAATATTAATTGATTTTGTTGGGGAAAAGCATTCAATTGAGTTTAGTGCAATCACAAAGATTCTGATCCTCAACAAGTTTTCACATGATTTATCAATTTTGACGTAAATTTTGACTCTAACATTTGAAAGCCTAAAAAATTGGTCGTTCCTTGTAAAGCAGAACAAGGTGTATATCTTTTAATAGAAGGAACCATATTTGTAAACATTTAGCTGATGTAATTTTATCTCAAAAACGTCTCGCTCAGTACAAGATTAAAAGTGGAGATCATAAACATTCGCTACGGAAGCAAAGTTTCAAAAGGGTGATATCGACTGATTCTAATTAAAAAACAAAGCTAGTATTCGGTATATGTAGATAAAATGAGAAAAAATTAAGTGGTTTAAAAATGCATTTGTATCGCACCTATCTTCATCGCTAACCCCTTCTACCTTCGGTTTCAGGTACCTGGATCGAGAAGACACTCTGTATTGTGGGGAAGTTGGATGATACAAACAATTTAGGTTTTATAAGAACTTGTAATTTGTCTCCTCCTTGGGGGTCGGTAGCCCCTTTCTGGTCACTGAGGTGGTTAAAATTAGTGTTTTCGCCACCTAAATGTGTTCAAATAAACATGTACTGTCATGCCATTTAAATGACTGGAAAAACTCAAAGAAGCAGTCACAAAACCCAGTGTTGTAATGTCGATGAAGTGATCATCCATTATCAAAAATGCTTCATATTTTATTTGGCAAAGTATCTTCCTAGTACATTTTTAATCGATTGGTGTTTTTGGAATGTTAAAAATGGAAACATTTTCTTGATGGGAAATCATACTAATCACAATACATTTTAACTCATTGCCGAAGACGTTATTTAACTTTGTCTATTGTTGCTGCCTTCGATCAACCATGAATTTGTTATAGATTCCTAAAAAAACTACGAATATAGCCTGCGTTGCCTTTCCTTGTTGAAAACTCTCTAAATAGAAGGGAATAATTAATATATTTTGACGCCTTTCATGATGAGAGAATTTGAAATGAAAATGCGAAGCATTATCATAAGTGTAGGCAAATGTTTCACGCCCCGAGACTTACGTGAAGATAAAGTAGACATAATGCTCGGTCAAGATACTTATTGTCGACCTGCAGAAGGGATGTGTTTTATTGGTGTGGCACGGGGACAGGCTGCCCAGCACAGATACAGCGGCGAAGCCCCTAAGTGGCCCACTACCGAAACCAAGAGTTAAGCAAAAATTGACGTATTGCGAATATGGTATTCAAGCCACGCTATAATATTTCCCGAAAGAATTTTAATAAGTTTTGATGACCCAAAAACTCAAAAAATTTCAAAACAGTTGCATGGGTGGCAAAAATAGACAACTAGGTGCTTTTGAGTCAATCGTTCTAACGATTTGATGTCAGTTGTAGTTCCGAAAGAGATCCTAAATCAGCAAATATTTTTGATTTCCGTTCTGAGATGCATATTAAGGCTGGTGTAATTTTGTAACACAGGACATATAGCATTTGGTGTTGAATAACTCTTTGTTTTGTTATAAAATGAATGTAACTTGGACAGAAAATTCAAGGAAGAATAAATACATAAATAGTTCATATTTGCAAAAATGCCTTAATACTAAGAAACAGTGATAGTATTCTAGAAATACAAAGCCTTTAGAGTTGTCAGTTGGTCCCTAGTGAAGTTTTTGTATGCAAATTTCAGAAAACCAACCACACTTTAGTTGTTGTTGTGGTGAGTTTTTGGTGAGGACTTGTTTAAGCACCAATAATGACCGAGTTTTAAGAGTAAAGCACACACTCTAACGCCTAGTTTTGAATATTCATAAATAGATAATCGACCACTGGTCTAAAGGCGCCGTCTTTCAACCTGCCGTTACATCCAGCTGTAGCCCTGGGTGGAAGGAAAAGTTGTGAAATAAAAAGATTAGTGGGGGCCAAGAAATAGTATGCAGTTTTCCCCAGGCCAAAATCTTCACGTTTCATATTTGCGAATACAGCATTGATCGCCTAGGGGCTTTCAGTCTTGTCCACTCAGGCCGACTTATGGCCAAAGAACTGGCCAATAACTAGGTAGGGTTCCTCCCATTGGATGTCTACTGGCAACGCTACGGAGCAGCTCTCAAGAGACCTCTGATATAAGGTAAGTGCATGTGAAGGTGGATGGCTTAGAAGAGTCGTAAATTTCAGTGAGTTAGTAGCACTTTTTTACATTTTTGCATTTCTTTCTACCTTATCGTCAGCTCTCATATTCTTAAGATTTGGAATGCGGATATTATATCAAGGAATAACTAGTACATTACAGGATGAAACTTTAGGCCATTTGCTCGAACAGAGAAAATGAATTTAACAAACATCGGTGTATCACGATGGTAGTTTACCGCAAAAAGAAAACTAGAAAGTTACGTAGATTGTTGGACCTTTTTCGGGCATGAGGACTTTACCATTAGAAACGTTCTTTTTATAATGCCTTGCGTTTCACTTTTAAATTCGTTGGTGAAATTCGAACAATAAACGAAGACAATGGGCTCAAGTAACTTTGATTGTTTCCTTGTAATAACAAAGCGTAAATGATTTGTTAAAATAATGCTGGTTGGTACAACCATTCCATCCATGAAACTCAATGCTAAGATATTAAACGTTTATTGAATGTAGTTTTTTTCCGCACATCAATTGAGGTCCACCATTACTTGCATTGAGTATTTCTTATAATTTGAGGAGACCGGTAAGGCATCTAATTGAGAGGCAACTACATCAGGGAGTTTACATTTTTATAACGTTTTGTAGTACAATCGTAAAAATAAAATTCCAAACACCATTTCTTAGTGCAAATTATATTTCGCACATTTTTCTGCACTAATTCTAAGTACTTTCGGAAAATGCTCATAGTTTCCTTTTTTAACCTCATCTTTTGTATGAGTGGTATATTTAAAACGACAAGCATATACAGGCTCAATCATAGTTCTTCCATTAATTACTACCTATTTGGGGCTGTATTCGAAGAGAAATTGCGAAAGTGTGTGACGGTCGGTCCATGTAGCAAGAGAAACAAATAAAATTTTTAAATAGTGCTTAAATTTTGATTATTTAATTTGTTAGAAGACGTTAACAGACCCAGAAAATATTGGAACAGTTCACATTTGTTCTGCGAAAAGAATACTGCTTGTATGTACATATGTTTATAACCTCAGGTAGGCGGCCATTTTGGTAGTGTAAGATCTGTATGTAAATAAAAGGACGGTTGATGCAGCCACATATTACAGTTGCAAAAATCCAAGTATCTACAGAAGACTCTCTTAGGTTCTGTGTAATGGAGGCTGGATCTTTTAAGAACAAATAAATGAACTGGGAAATCTGCACTAATCATGTGAAGGCAAAAACTATTGACTGAAGACTTAGACCGGTTAGGGTTTGTGGAGAGTGAGGAAGCAAATAGAACTTACAGATAAATCGCTTAAAAAAACTGATATTTGCTGCGAAGTCGATTCAAACGACCCTCGAAATTCTAATTTCCTGAAATGTGGTTGCAAGCACCTCTCTTGGACAGAAGAATTTGTGAATCAACGATCAATTTTTGTACAAAATACAATTTTCTTACCAACTAAGATTGCATTTTTATGTTTCTTTGTTAATTAAATATGTACGAAGATAGTGCTGGTAAGAATACTCAATATACGCTTAAAGCTACGAATGCATTCAACATTACCTTATTTAAGTCATTGTTTTTAATTAGTGACATTGAGTCCCATTAAGGGTGTTAGGTGTATATGTGTCCGAATACGCAGCTTAGTATCGCGTTAAACGGTTGCTTATATGATGTGCAGGACGACAGCAGCTGCGATGAAAACATCAACGGCTGAATTAATCTGTAATTTTTACATGATAGATGCGTCTCTGAGATCCGCTTTCGTTCATCAAAACATTCACTTGCATCTCAAGTTTCAAATTCACCTAATCGAACAGACACGAAGCCTGGCAAATTATAAAGAGTGACTTCGGTGTTTGAGAGCACTATTTGTGATAACCATCCACTTCGAAGTTGGACTACCATTAACGCTTGAAGCTTGTAAAAAACGAATCAACGTCTCTATTTTAGCTAAACCAACCTATTATAAATCAGGCACAAACCCTAAATTTATTTATTTTTCAGATGGTAGACACACAGATACAATGGCGGCAAGTTTAGATTCGGTCGCTCGCTTACGAGAAAAAGGAGAATTGGCAGAACTTTTGACTAAAAACGAGGGCACTAATTTCCTCTACGACCGTGACAAAGTAAAGTGACTTGGAGTTTGACAAAAATCTACGCTTTTAGCAATTTTGCATATGAGTGTGAAACCTTGATTAAAGCACAGTACAAATCTACCATTTGATTCTTTTGAGGGATTTTAAATGGTTTTGATAAAAGAGGAACTAAAAGTAAGCATAAAATGCGCGTAGATGTTTGTAATAACTCAGTTATATCGCAATGAATGTCAAGAAATGAATGAGATCCTTTTTTAATATTTCTCATTTTGTTTAGGATGGTAACAGCTTGACTCACTTGGCAGCTTTACATGGGAATGTTCCATTACTTCGTTTCCTCATGAAAAGCAGCAAAATTGAAATAGAAGCACGTAATGTGGTGAGTGGATTCAATTGCACAGGATTGCCCTTTCGTAAGTTTTAATTATGGAACTGCAGGTTATCTTCATAATTTTAGTAATTGGAAGTTGGTAAATCTATCTATTACTGCCGTTTAATTTTAATCAGACTAATACACCTCATTTTGTAGCTCGACCAAACACCGCTGTTCTTTGCCATTCTCGCCAGCTCCGTTGAAACTGCACGTTTCTTCCTCGAGGCTGGAGCCTCGTTCGACGTCGCAGATGCTGTGAGTGTACACCGTATTTGCATAATCGCTATTAAGAGAGCATAGTTGTCCGCTTCCAATCATTGGGACTTTCGTTACCACAGGAAACCCCGTGATACATGCAAGACCGTGATCAATAATCCTTTGGCCGCTGTGGTTTTCTTTTTACTGTCCCAGCATAAGCGAATAATTACTATGGATGAAATTTTCTAAAATCGACTCACACCTCATTGTTTGTTATTAGTACTGTTTCAAAAGAAAATTCGTAACAATTTCAATCAAAATATCACTCTAATTTGTTGGAGTTTTGTTCAAACGAGTCTTTGGGAGAGATAAGCAGCTTCTTTGGTACCCATTGTCATAACAATTGCAAATGGTACTGCTCTTCATCCATGCTATTTAAAAAAGAGATTATTTTTTTTGTGGAAGACATTGAAACAGGACGTTTTTTTTGTAGAATGGCGAAACGGTTGTTCATATTTCGGCTAAGGCTAACAACCTCGAAATAACCGAGTTCATATCCACAGTTGGTACCAATTTAAATTGCGTAAATATTGTAAGTGACGATAAAGGGCCTTTCTTATTTAAAAATAAGGTTTATTTACGAATAGACATTTTACTTTTCTGCTTCTTTGACTTTTGTTTATTGGTCTCTAAGTGACATAATAATGAGTAGGAATGGGATGTATGAAGTGTTGGGCTTACAGTAAATAAAAATTGCTCTAATTGGAGTTTAAAACCCATAGAATTTTGTACGACTGTTGCATTTTAGATGGAAGAATCCGCATTACACGTTGCATGTAGGCTGAATAACCTCAGAAGCGTAATAGCACTTTCTGCGGCTGGCGTCAATCCAAACACAGTTTCTGGTGTGAGTTTATGCCTCTGAAAGACCTGTAGAATCAGTTTAGTTCAACATTGGAAATGAAATAAGGGTATGCTAAAATATTTTAGAAGGGTGACACAGCACTTCATTTGGCCGTTCAAAATGGTTCCCACGAAATCGTCCGTGTGTTACTTGGAAGAGGAACGAATCCTAATATTTCCGACAAGGTAAACGAGCATCCAATACGTTGCAGATCCCTTTTTATGCCCTAAGCCACTAATTTTAGATTTTTTTAGAATGGCAATCTGCCTCTGCACATCGCGTGTGCTAATGGGGATCTAGCCATTACCCACCTATTATGTGAAAGTGGATCACGAGTCAATGCCCATAATCACGTAAATTCTCCTACTTGATCTAATCCTCTCGTATGCAGGATCAGCTCAGTCCGTTACATTTGGCTGCCAAATCTGGTAACCTAGAACTAGTTCGAGGGCTTTTATTTTATGGAGCTGATTCCGCGTCTCCCAATGGAGTGAGTGTTTTGTGGTATTTTTAATGGTGATCCATTTAGCTGGGGATCACAGCGGATGTCACAGCCTATGCCCTTGGTCACAATGACGTTG